AGAAGATTTTGGCGAGAATCACGAAGCAGCAGGCGAAGAAGGGCAAGGGGCTGAAGCCGTACAACTTCAACAAGGACCAGGTCGACGCCTTTAGGTACCGAATGAACGACGCGCTGCGTGCGGTGACCAAGGTGGCGATCCGAGAGGCGCGGACGAGAGAGCTGCGTCAGGAGCTGCTGAAGAGCGAGAAGCTCAAGAGGTATGAATGATGTCTACGCTGATTATAGATTTGATTCTCGATGCTAATTCTGCTCGGTAGATACTTTGAAGAGAACCCGTCGGAGATGAACCACCTTCGCCACGACGGCGAGTTGAGAACGGCTAGACAACAGGCTCATCTGAAGCACGTGCCGGACTATCTCCTGCCCAAGGAGGGACGGCAAGCGCTGACGGCGGGAGACGTTGGGTTTGTGCCGCTCAAGAGGTTTGATAGGCGCGCGGGCACCAAGCGGAAGGGCGGGAAGAGGAGTGCAAAGGCTGGGGTGCGCAAGGGTGATCCCTTGAAGACATTCAAGGCGAGACGGAAGACAAAGTAATGGTTGATGGAGTGGTTTTCTTTACTATTTTTACTTGTTGTTGGGGGGCGATGCTGAGGGGGTGGTTTTGTGCTGGCCGGCATTGGAGAATTAGAGAGGGGGTTTTGTCGTATAAAATAATGCATGTACTTTTTTTTTTTTGTTACTTGAGGAAAGCATAAAACGTATTGACTATTTTATTATTTTCTCATCATTGCATTATGTGATCCGCATGGCATGGGATGGTGGTTGAAGGCCCCAGGCGGTGTTTTTAAGCGATGCGGGATAGCGAGGACGGGGAACACGAGCGATGTCTGGCCGATCGCGATGATCGGGAAACATGGGGGGGCAATATGTACATAAAAGGAGGGTTTTTAGTCAAGCATGCTACTGTAATCTGCGACGGTTCATGTTTGTTTTTTCGGTAGATTGATTGTGTGAAGTTGGACGGCTAATCTAGTCTGTAGCACGAAGAAATGAACGAGGAGGGCAGCTGATGCGGAGGAATGAAGACATCTTCTTCATGCTGTGTAAGTCGCCCGCCTGTCGAATGGATCAAGTGTCTTTTTGTCTTTTTGTCCGCCCGGATATTTTTTTTGTCGGGGCCTGCAGTAGGACACTACCAGACCACTCTAGTGTCTCCTGTAAAGTTGTACTCAAGTTTAGTGAAAAAAAAAAGTCATTGACCTAAGCTTGGGAGCTCGTATTTGGGAGATGGAGATGGGAGTCCGTCCGGGTGCGGCTGGTGCTGGTGCTGGTGCTGGGGGTTTATCTTAGCTACAAGTAACATGCAAGTTATTTTTTCCTGATGAATGGACTTGTTTTTGCTAGAAGTTGATTAGCTTGAGCTTGGGATGGGGGTTCCACTCGCACCTCGTGTCTGGAGAGGATCCATTTTTGGGTTGTTTGTTTCTTTTTTTGGGATTCGGCGTCGGGGGGATTTGAATCTTGGTTTTTGAGGGGGAGAATTGGATTGAGTTGAGTTGAGTTGGCTTGAGTTGTGAGGGAAGAGCAAGAGAAGAGGAGGGCAAGTTTGTATACACGGTGGCTTCGTACGGGCACTTGGATATGCTGTACTTGAATGCTTGATGCTGGTGCTCCCGTGGCTGGAGCCCATGCCATGTGCTGATGGTTCCCCTGATGGGTGGCGTGGTGGCGTATGGGGATGGTTTGAGCGGCTGAAAAGTCAAGTAGCAGAGCAGAGCAGAGCAGAGCAGTTGAGATTGGATGATGGCGGGGTCTGAGTTGAAGAGACATCAGAGACGAGATATCAAGACGATGGAATGGATCAATGTAGACGGGACTGAGCACCTGAACAACCCGGCTTCAACACTCGCTACAGGCGATGACAGAAGGCGACCTGCCTGTTCAGGGACGGATGAGGCGCCCGTGGCCCAAGCTCTGCTAGGGGGGAAACCAGCCCGGAGCCCGACTTCCAGCGCTACAACTGCCTGCATCCTCGTACTAAAATCTCGCCCCCCAGCGCCCATCGCCAGCATCTTGCATTCCATCCTTTCCTCCTTTGCCGCTCCAAACGAACAACAAACAAAAGACTCTCGCTTCCGTTGTTTCTCGTCTTTTTTTGCGTCCCCCGAGCGGTGCGTCACTCGTTCATCGCACGCTTCAAGGGATTCGCATCCTCGGCCCTGTTTTTTCCTTCTCTCTTATAGTTTTGAGCCTCAATATTTAACTTCGGATTCGCTGTGTGTGCGCGCCGCATAAATTGAACCCCCTTCCAATCGCTCAATTTATTTCTTCTTCTCGAAATTGAACTCCCGTTACACGACGCTCGTCTCCCTTGAAAATCCCGATATCGCTTCTCGCTTCTCAAACGGTGCCGGTTTTCGTTTCGTATTTAAATTCGAAGAGACAGACAAAGAGAGAAACATGTTGCGTTCTGTTGCGATTGCTGCGCTTTTGGGCGCTGGGTCGGCTGCTGCGGCGTCGACGTGCTCCCTTACCAATAAGTGCCCTGAAGACGCGCCTTGCTGTTCCCGTATGTGCAATCATTTGCGAATTCCTTCTTCGTTCTGTGGATTTTCCGGCTGACGAAACGGTTCTTGTCGTGTCTAGAATATGGCGAGTGTGGTGTTGGCGCCTACTGCCTCGGCGGCTGCGATCCCCGAATGTCCTTTTCGCTCGACTCGTGCACGCCCGCGCCCGTGTGCAAGTCCAAGACGATGACCTTTGACAAGGACCTCAGCAGCATCGCCGACATTAGCGACTACCTCGGCGACCCGTCCACGGCCGACTGGATGGCCCAGGGAGAGCCCGCCTACTTTGACGGCAACGTGCTGCTGACCATGCCCAAGAACAGCGTCGGAACGGTGCTGGCGACGACCGAGTACATGTGGTATGGCAATGTCAAGGCCAAGTTCAAGACGAGCCGTGGCAAGGGTGTGGTGACGGCCTTTATCCTGCTGTCTGATGTCAAGGACGAGATCGATTATGAGTTTGTCGGTGTCGATCTGGGCACTGCGCAGACCAACTGGTACTTCCAGGGCATCCCCGACTGTGAGTTTTTTTTTTTTTTTTTTTTTTTCGTGTATCGTGATGATGGCCATTGAATCAGTGCTGACGATGTGCGAACGACAGACAACAACTCTGGCAACATCACCAAACTCTCCGACACCTTCAACAACTACCACACCTACGAGATCAACTGGACCCCTGATCAGATCCAGTGGCTCGTCGATGGCCAGGTCGGCCGCACTGTCAACCGCAAGGATCACTGGAACGCCACCTCCAACCAGTGGTCGTTCCCCCAGACGCCCTCCCGTGTCCAAATCTCCATCTGGCCCGGTGGTCTCGCCAGCAACGCCCAGGGAACCATTGACTGGGCCGGTGGCGAGATTGACTGGAACGCTCAAGACATCCAGAAGAACGGCTACTTCTACGCCACCTTTGAGTCCGTCACCGTCTCCTGCTACAAGGCCACTGGCGACCTCGGCAGCAACTCCGGCGTCAGCTACACCTACGACAACATCCGGGCCACCAACGACACCGTCGTCAACGGCAACAAGCGCACCAACTTGGCCACCCTGCAGGGCACCGGTCTCGACATGGATGCCGGCAAGCAAGACGATTCGTCGTCGTCGTCGTCGGCAGCGCCCTCGGGGACCGCCTCCAAGTCTGCTAGCAAGCCCCCCAAGAACACCCAGGCCTCGATCCCCGGTGGAAGCAACGGCTCTTCCGGCACCGTCCCCGGCGGCGACTCTGGCGACAAGGGAAGCTCTGGCGGATCCAGCGGTGATAGCAGCGGAGGCGGCAGTGGCGGCAGCAGCGGAGGCTCCGACGGCGGCTCCGGTGGCAGCGCCCCTGCTGATACTTCTGGCTGCTCGACTTCCAGCTTCAACCAGGACTGCGGCGACAGCAGCGACTCCAGCGGCAGCAAGAGCGGCAACAAGAACGCCGGATCAAAGACTGGCGTCAGTGCCCTGGCAATGGGCCTGGCCGGTGCTGCTCTGTGCTTGATTTGAGTCCAAGCTGGATAGTCTGATGGCTTTGACTTGGGGGTTTTTTTTGGGTTAATTTTTTTGTTGAAATTTTTGCGGGCTTCATATTGTCTCCCCCATCTTCTATACGCCTCATACGTTTGGTGTTTTTGAATGTGTTTATGCATAGTTGAGAATAGTGCCGCCCTGAACGGTTGGACAGATGTGCGAATGATAATGAATGGAAGGGGCGGGAGGCCGTAATTTGGATGTATTTAGGAGGGGTTGAGGTTGTATTTAGGGGTCAGATTTGACTGATTACTGTCTCATACTTGTGCTTGCCCATTGGTTTGTGCGCTGTGCTTGAGACGTAACATCACGTCGAGTGCTGTATTCCGCTTAGTTGTCTATTTCTAGGTGCCGTAAGAAACAATGACGCCTCTTGTTCTACTTCACACGGGATCGTGAGTTTTGACAGCATCATTGACTTTTGACTCAAGTGGCGTTTATTGACATGCAGCGTGTGGAGCGTACGTTACATGCGATTCAAACGCAGCATATCGTCTATTTCAGGAGATGCACGATACATGCAATGTTGATGCTACGTTGTCTTGGTCCATGTTAGCACAGAGATGGCAATATAAAACGAGACGAAACGCCGTGCTTCGTGACCCCCACACAGATCTATTTAATCAATCTCGCATCAAGAACATTGAAACTATCCCCGCTGTCTGTAAGGCGTACCCTGGAAAGCTTTGTCATTGCATTTTCTCTCCTTCTTTTGCTTTTTCCCTTGAGAGGTTTGCTTTCCCTTTTGTTGTGAGCTGTGCTTGTCTTGTTTGGAAGGAATTGAATCTTGTGACGGGGATCGGCGATTTATCTCACAGTCTGACCTCATTCTGATTGATTTTGTGCGAGCTTGTTCATTTTCCCCCACCTATTTCGACAAACTTCACTTTTCAAACCAACTTTCATCATTGACTCTTCTGTGTGCTATACAGCTGTTCACATATACTGCGCATAGCGAATTCCCACAAGGACTCCTACGATCATGTCTCGCCGTCTGCTTATTGCTCGCCCGGGGCACATCTACCTCGCCACTTACAACTCCGCCTCAGCAACCATCACCATCGATCTCGACGAGCCGTTTCCAGGCAATCCCTCTTGGTTCACTGCATCTCCGACAGATCCTGATTTATTATACACTTCTGATGAGAGAGGTTCGACGACTTATGCTTTTCGTCTGGATCTTGAGGCAAATACGTTGACGAAAGTCGCTCGGTCGGAAGATGGCAGCAAGGGCGTGTGTCACCTCGCTTTCAACAAAGAGGGGACGATTATGATAGGCACGTCCTGGGCCGAAGGCACAATCGACATATGGAACACGGAATCCTCAACTCCCAAACTCATCACGACGATTCAGTCGAAAGATCCCGTCGTCGACGCTGGTAGAGTCGCGCGCGCCCACGAGGCCGTGCTTGATCCCACAGGCCGCTTCTTCATCGTCAACGATCTCGGCACGGATTCGCTGCTCGTGCTCGACGCCCTGCGGCCAGACGTCCCGGTTGTGAGGCGCGCCACCGTGCCGTCCGGTTCGGGGCCGAGACACGGCGTGTTTTATCCCGCGGGGGAAGGGAAGAAGGCGACGCATTACTTTTTGCTGTGTGAGACGACGAACCGGGTTGAGGTGTTTAAGCTGAAGTACACGGAGGTGGATATCGAGGTTACGCCTGCGGGGGGCTGTTGTACGTTTGTGGACGAGGATGTGGGTGCGTTTGCTGCGGCGGGGGAGATTATGCTTTCGAAGGATGGGCATGTTTATACGTCGAATCGGTTGATGACGACGCCGACGGAGACGATTTCGCATTTTCGGGTGAAGCCTGAGGGCGATGAGGGAGAGTTGGAGTTGGAGTTGGTGGGGGAGACGTCGACGCAGGGGAAGCATCCGAGGATGTTTAGTTTGAGTAGGGATGAAAACGAGTTGTTTGTTGGGAATCAGGAGGGCGAATGGGCGGTTGTGGTGTTGAGGAGGAGAGAAGATGGGACGTTGGAGGAGAAGCCTGTTGCGGGGGTTTTGATGGAGGATATTGTGAAGGGAGGAGGAGACGAGATAGGGCCAAAGTTTGTGCTGGAGGTTGTGTAAAAGGGATTGATGGATATGTATTCATCTCTATATGAACGCTACATGCTTGTCTCAGTCTATACGATATTATACCAAGCTACTTGTCCTGAAATCAAGCCTCTCTCTAAATTAACAACACACACATCGCTGCAAACACCATGCTGATGGCGAAGCTGTGTGCACCCATCTTGCCAGCGCCGTTCTTATCATCGCTCTGTGCACTCTCCGCATCAGCACCCCCCGTAGTACTACTCTTCGGAGTGTTAGCAGCCGTAGTCGAAGCGGCCTCCGTCGAGCGCGCAACAGAAGGCGATGCCGTCGTGGAAGAAGGGGGCTGGACGGTAGTTGAAGCTGGAGCGGTTGTAGAGGAAGCCGCCTTGGAAGTGGTCTTGGAGGATGAAGACGAGGAGGAAGACGAGGAGGAAGACGAGGAGGGAGAGGAAGGCTGTTCGCTTTCGTTGGTGCTGCATGTGCCCTCGAGGTCCTGGAGGGAAGCGGTGGATGTGATGGTCTTGACGCTGGTGCCGCAGTTGGCGTAGGGGGCGAGGTGGACCATGTTGCCTGTGAGGTCGAACACGGCTGTATACATTCCGTCAGTTTGTGCATGTTGATATATGTAAAGATGGGGGCAATGTGCAACTTACCGTACGCAGATCGCAAAAAGGTATCGCCAAGCAACGCAAACTGCGTGCTCCCCATCATCCCCAGATAACAATGCGGCGGCAGCGAAGACACCGACCGGATCATCTCGCTGTACGGCACCTTGATCGTGACCCCGTCGAACGCAAAGTCAATGGTGCCGGGCTCGTTGATGAGGCCGCAGTCCACAATGGCAAATCCGCTGTCGTCAGTGCCCGTCGATCCGAGGCTGGCCGCAATCTCGTCCACCAGCGATTGCGGCAAGAGAGTCAGCGTCGAACCGCTGTCGAGGAAGACGGTCATCTCGGTGTTGGCAAAAGTCGTCGGTTTCCCCGTCGGTGGCGACAGCGAAATCGAGTTCATGTCGACCCAGTAGCGGGCAACGCCGTCAGGAGAGTCGTCCGCGGGGACAATCGGGAGATGAGCGAGCTTGCCGCTGAACTTGCCCGTGTCGACGCCGCCAAAGATGATGACGCCCTCCTCCTCGGCCTTGCTGCCCAGTGCCAAGCTAAAGGCCTTTGTCTTGGTGACGCCCTGCTTGGCCAGCTCGTCGACGAAGTTGGGATACAGCGTGTTGACGCCCTCGCCGGCGCCGATGCCGAGGATGCCCGAGAACTCGTCGACGCTGGCGTCCGCGACGCCGAACTGGACGTCCTTCATGGTGGCGGAGCCGGGCAGGGAGATGCTGTCCTGGACGTACGAGACGTTTGCGCTGCCGATGCCGTAGCGCAGCTGGGCGGCGCTGCCGGTGACGAAGGAGGTGGACGAGGATTTGGGGTCGTAGAAGCCGATGGCGCGGCAGAAGCGCTGGTCAGAGGTTTGGACGTTGGAGCAGTCCGGGTTGACCCAGAGCTCGAAGGAGCCGGTGTCGATTTGGGCGTAGACGGTCTGGGGAGGAGTTCCGATGTTGACTGTTTATATATATATATATATGTTGGCATTTATATCACGAGTAAGCTTGGGATGCTGGTTACTTACGTTGAGCGTAGTACGAGACATCGGAGCGGTTCTCGACCTGGACTTCTACGGCTCGCCTGTCCAAGGTGCCGCGGTGGGCGTGGATGATGGGCAACGTAATGGTCCCAGAGGGAATCTCCTCGACCGGCAATTTGCGCTTCCCGTTGAAGGGGAGAATGTGGAAAGGCTTGTCCTCGTCATCCTGGCTTCTCCGCTGAGGCACCGGGAGAGTGATTCTGCCATCCGCACCGTCGTCGTCCTCGAGAATCTTGCGCTTGCTGGGGTTCGGGTACGGCAGGATATGCCATGGCTTGTCCTCCTCGACGTCCCGTTTGCTTGGATAAGGGAACGGCAGGATGTGAAATGGCTTGTCCTCCTCCTCGGGCTTTACGTCCCCTCGGGCTGTTAGATGTGAGGCCGGAGGGACCGGTAGAGTGATTGTGTTGCCGACGTCTTCCGGCTCAAAGGCATGCTTTGGCCGTGCCTGAGCGAGCACGGCTAGAGAAAGGATGAGGAATGATGAAATGGCCATGATGCGTATATCAATGATTGTTGTCTTGTATAAAACGTATGTGTTTGTACTCGTATATGTGTAGATGCGTATATATCAACAGAACCAGATAGTAGAGAATGATGGAAGGACAAAATCGCAATGAAAAAACAGCCGTCAAGGCCGTCGCGTTCAAAAAGAATGAGAAGCCAGCTTCCGAATGGAAAAGAATGATTGAAGATGGAAGCTTCAGCGACAGAGTATCAAAAAAAGAAAGAAAAAGAAAGAGGTTTTAAAAAGAGGGAAGCATTACTCGGCTAGATGTATGTACAGATGAAATTGTAGGACGCAAAAGAAGAAAACGAAACACAGACCCGAGAAAATCGCATCTAGGATGACGAGGCCGGGGTTAGAGGCTTGTTGTATGGGGACCGGGATGAGTTATTATTAGTGCGGCTCCGACTTTTAACTGGATAGACGCTCTACGCTCTACTGTAGAGCTTTCAGCTACTGGGATAGGGATTGAAGCTATTCGATATTCACTGGAGACGGATCCAAAGACATGGTTGCGTAAACCAGTGAATCTTGGCTAGCGCTCCTTCAACGGAAAGCAATTCATGCGGACAGGGGAAACGCGGCTTCAAGGAAGAGCTGTCATATTCACTATTTGCCGTGTTTTCTCTCCTTTGCTTGGCTGGATTTCTTTCTTCTACTTGGCAGGCGATTAGGAGGCCTGCGGGGTTTGAAGTTTTGCAGGGGAGGCTGAGATGGTGAAACGCGAAGCGTCGAGGGTTCCGTTCTGGGGCTCATACACGGAGGGACGAGCTGGACGAACGCGTGGCTGAAGGTTGCTCCAAGTGCCGACGAGGCCGATCATGGTTGGTTGGCCTTGAAGATATCGAATCTTTAGCGGAGGTTTCTGCTTTCCCTATTTTTGCGTCATCTCTTGAAGGGTTTAGTTGTGGTTGTGCTTGGTATTGTTGAAGTTTGAGTTGACACTGCCTGACTCGTGGAGACGGGCCAAGAAGGTCCGGCGGCCCCTGGTTCATCTTCCAGCAAGGCTACCTATCCATTCTCACCCTATTGCAACGACAACAGTCCTGCCAAGCGTGCCTTGACGGACCTGGAAATGAAAGATTGGCACGGCGGATGGAACTAGCCTGTACCTTATCTGCCACCGGGAGGGCCATCTGCCGGGTTGTTTGGACTAGGGCGCTTACACGGATGCACTCCGTGTCTGTGTGCGTGCAGTAGAGGCTTCAGCCATGGCTGGAGGCGAGAAAAAGAGTAAAGCATTCTGTATCAATGTGGATGTATCACAAAAGAAGCTGGTGAAAAGGATGAGAATCCATACGAGGGTGAGTCTGATTAGGCGCCCAAATACCCCACGGAGTTCTATAACACAACTGCTTTCAAATTCCTCTCCCGCGTTACTCATTCTGTCGCATTGTGCATACATACATGTGCTTGCTGTATATGCGGTGTCACCTCAATTCAGCCGATATCAAGCAGGAAAAAAGAGCCCAATTCACTCCCAACCAATTCCGCCCATACATGTGCATCACATACACTCTCGATCACCACTCGCAAACCTCGTCGTCAAATGCTGCCCGACCGTTCTTAGACAGTCGCGCCGACGAAATTTGACACAGGCAGTTTGTAAATGGAAAAAGTAAAAGGGAAAAGGCGACATTGCTGCAACCCCCTTGCTGGAACTTGTCGAATCAGGACTAGATGAAGGCATGTTGATGCGTTGTCCTGCGTCTTAAGCGGCCACCCCGCAGTGTCGTGTCCCGCGAAGAAGTGAAATGCTTCACTGTTTGCCGCTTTTGGGATCACGGTACCTTTTTGAAGACCCTTTTTATTCCTTTGAATATCGTATTAGTCGCTTCTTCTGTTGATTGCAGAGTGGCATGGCATGGCGTAGCGTGGTTGATGTGCTGGCCGTGATGCGTGTTAGTGATGCCCTTTTCTCCCCTTGTAGCACATGCAAGAGTCTCCCATCCTTGATATTCACCACGTCAAAGAGTGATTTTCGATGCGATATGCCGTCCATGTGCCGATACCATCCCTCTCAATTGGACATTTTGCCCCAAACGAGCCTTTTAATCGCCAATCAGACGTAAACAGACACTTATCCCCGTCATTCTTCTCTCCTCTCCTCTGCATGATGCATTGTCTCCCCATCGAAATCACCGCATCAGTCTATCCTATCGTATGCCATCGTCCGTCTCAGTCAAATGCCAAACTGATTGGTCGTTTAATAGCAAAAAAGCCACTCGTGATGGATACCCCCTACCTGCATGCATGCACTTACATGCCGTTACCAACTTTTCTCGGCCTCTCACTCGCCCGGCTGGCCCGCAGGAACAACGACGGCCCTTTGCGTGTAGAAGCTGCATATGCATCGTCTGTACGATGGACTAACTCGGTCGTAGCTGTATGATGCGTGTGCAACGCCGGCCAATCTGAATGCCTCGTGCTGTGATGGGGGGAAGGGGTCTAATGACCTATATAATGCGTTATGCAACGCCACTGTGCAGCAGTATATTCTGTCCAGACCATTGATTCATCTCTACACACTCCATTATATCTTTTTAATACTCATCTGTGTCTGTTTACACATTCAAAAAGACAGCTCGCATGTATATCCCTCCTTCCCCGGCCAATCTTGAGGCGCTGCGGCGCCATGGACCAACAGATGGATACAATCAATGGATATGGCGTCATTTTACAAATATCTCAACTGCAATAAAGTCCACAGGCTCTATCAAACAGGGAATTTCCTTGATAGAACGGCGCTCAAGCTCTGCCGCCCATACCAACCTCATCATCGGCCTCGTCGTCGGCTTCACCCTGGCAGCCTTCCTCACCGGCGTTGCGATTTTCCTCTGCTGTTACGGAGATTCCATTAGGTTCTCCAAGAAGAAGCACAAGTACAGGCGCCGGTCGACGGGATCGAGAAACTCGAAGCACTCACGGGAGGGAGAACATGCTGAGGGAGCGCCGGAAGGCGAACAGGGGGCGTGAATTCACGTGGCATGGAATTGGCGTTGTGATTTCTTTACCAAAATCTTCATGTTTTCTCCATGCTTGTTTGATGGTTTTGGGAGGATTGAGAGCGTTTCACATTTTGAGACTATGGGTAGATACATACGCTGCCTTTTGACGAATCATGATGATGGATGGATGGATTGCTTACGGTTTCACTTGATACTCTGATTCGGATCACAGAACGAATGTTATTATTCTCTATACCATGCTCTTCTACCTGCATTCTCTTGGATCTCAATATTTTACCCGTTTATTAGCGTAGTGTTTGAACCGTCCCAAATCCTCCTTAATGGACTGTCACGCGCTTATGACGATGACAACGGCGGTGGCTATGATGATGGTGGCGATGATGCTTCTTCTTGCGCCTCTCTTTCGCCTCTTCCTCATCAACATTTACTCGGACGGGATCGTTCGGTAGCGGGATATCGAGACCATTGAGAATGGCTTCCAGATCCGCACGAGCGGCGTCTGGGATTCCAGGGGAAAGAGGGCTTATGAGCTTCTCAAACTCGGCAATGGGGTCTCGGGGAAGGAGGATTTGATGGGTGCGGTGGAAGCGGTGTTGACGATGACGATGACGATGGTGGCCGTGGCTGCTCTGATGGGAGTCGCCGTGAGCATCATAGTCATTTCTGTGATCAAGCAAGTCTAGAATATGGTCGCCTTCGTGGAGATGTTCGCGGTAGTGGTCTCCGTGAAAATGCTTGTCATCATGCTGATGGTGATGAATTGATAGGGGCACCTTTGGCAGTGGAGGGACTTGTTCGGTTTGCGTGCTGCCGTCCTGTCTTTGCTGTGTCTGCTTCTCAGATGTTTTGGTTCCATTTGCAATTGTGACGTGATTCTCGCGATGGTGAGAGCTTTGCTTTCGATGCTTCTTGTGTCGGTCTTGTTGGCGCCAGCACCAACAGTAGACGAGAGCAGCAACGACGACTGCGATGAGAGTGAGGCCAACAGCTAGACCGATGGCTGCAGAGGACGATATTTCACCGTCATGAGAATCACGAGAGTAGTGATTGTGGGGAGGTTGGTGATGGCTGTGGAGGCAAGGCATGTTGAAGATGGGGAAGATCATGGTGAAGCCTTGCGAGTATTCTAGATCACCAAACGCTGGCTGGCAATGTCTTGTCTGTTCAATTTTACAAAAAAGTCTACGAAGGAATTCACTACGAAGCTGATGGTTCATTTTATACACCTATTGAACGGGAGTTTGCTGGCAGAGAGGAAGGTTATGATACTGCGCCAAGTATTGGCTCGTCGTCGCTCCTCAGCCTGGTTTGGCATCAAGGAGCAGCTACCCTCACCGTTTTTTTGATACCGAAACGGTTTGCTCGTTGGATAAGCGATGAAGGGTTATTCGAGTAAATCTGTTGGCACAAATGGCTTCTGTTGATGGTTTTGCTTCGGTTGTTCAGGAGATGGAGGCCTGACAAACAGTCTGGGCGAGAGATGAGTTTGCCCATATTTGAGGCGCCCTGACGGCTTCTATCAAACCTGTGAGATGACAATTCCGCGTTTGTAAAAGGATGAAAACGTGTCTCATCGGGAAGAACAGTCGTGAGGTGACCAAGTGCTGCAGTGATGAGACGAGGGAAGCGTGTGTGTGTATGAGGTGCCTGATGCGGTGAGAGAAAGAGAAGGCTTCTAGAAGAAGGCAAGAGAGAGAGTCAGATTTTGGTATGGATGCATGCACCAGTTTAAGAGTGCCTGGTTGATTGTCAAATAGAGTTGGACGACTACAAACACAAGCTTCGCGGGATGCCTCTTTTTGTCTTACAGCCACGAGGGCTAAGCAGTCCCACAGAGGAGACGCCAAACATGATCCCGGCCTAGACTAGCACATGGGAGGATAGCCGTGATCCGAGACAAAAAGAGGATGAATCATTAACGATCGTCATGATAGTGGAAGCAGTTGAGATCATAACTTACATACACTCGGCAGAATCCGAAGCAGTTACTAAGTTACGTAGTTACGGCGGCCAATCGATTAGCCGATGACGCAAAGCCGGCGTCGCAATTCGGCATGTCTCCGGCCAGAGCAGAATGGCAAGTCTGTCCGTTCCCGCTTTCAGGCGGAGGTACCTCGATGTAACCGGGACAGTTGCGTGGGGTAGAGACGGGGCAAGAAGAATAGCAGAGAATGGCGGAGATTGGGGTCCAATTCTGGGTCAATATCGGGGTATGGAGTGAGTATGGAGATACTTGGCTGGTACATGGAGACACTTCAACTTGGGCCCGGACTTTTGCCATTTCTGCAGCCATCAGGGTTCTAGCGGTTTCTGCCGCCTGTTTGCTCGATGTGCCCTTTTCCTCTTTTTGGCTGCTGATTCTCTCACAAAGTTCCCCTTATCTACATGCGTGTACATGCTATCAACAGCACGCAAATCAAGAATTTTCCATCCCATCTTTTTTGCTTCTCCCACGCCGCTAGTATCCAAAAGGCACTGGATTCCGCACGAACCCCCACCATGTACTGACAAGTATTGCCGCCCCCAATCCACACGCTCATTCCGCTGCTCGTGTCGGCTCTCCGCGACTTGAGCGGTACCTGCACAGGTACAAGCGCAAGTACGTAATTTATGCGCCTCCCCACCTAAAAAATTGCGTGCATGTTCTGGATTTCCTCTTTGGGCCGCGGGGTCAAAAAAAGGCAAATGCTCTCTTATCACGAGGAGGGCGATCGACATGAACGAAACAAAAAGAAAGATGGAATGTTGATATGAAAATAAACAAGACAGTTTACAATACTAACAGTATACATTCAATTACATCTCTTGTCTCGACAACCAACTCGCCACTTGCAACTGTTGATCGCCTTGCCATGACTCGCCCCAACGTGCCCTGATTTATAATGGAGACAAAAAAAAAAGGCCTCCCACGACGGCCCTTCTCACGATGCATAAACTCCGACATTCCCCACAGAATGCAATGGAACGGACTTGGATAGATGGCCTTAGTCGATCGATATGATCCAAGCTTCCCCGGTAGTCTCAAAGTCTGTGTCTGTGTCGTAATGGGTTGGGTAGTATCTTTACCTAGTAGTGTATACAGCTGCCCATACATAAAATGGCTGCTGCCCTTCGTCTCTTGACTCGGCCCTCTTTCCTCTCCATCTCATCTCTCTCCTCCTCAACTCGCATCAACCTCACCCGTTCGACTTACAACAACTCGTTTTCTCGACCCTTCAGCATCACCGCAACCATGTCTTCCGGACGAACCGTCACCCTCAACACCGGCCACAAGATCCCCCAGATCGGCTACGGCACCTGGCAGGCCGCCCCCGGCGAGGTTGGCGCCGGCGTCTACGAGGCTCTCAAGATTGGCTACCGCCACCTCGACCTTGCCAAGGTCTACGGCAACCAGAAGGAGGTTGGCGAGGGCATCAAGAAGGCCCTTGCTGAGATCCCCGGCCTGAAGCGCGAGGACATCTTCATCACCTCCAAGCTGTGGAACAACGCCCACAACCCCGAGGATGTTGCTCCTGCTCTGGACGACACCCTTGCCGAGCTCGGCCTCGAGTACCTCGACGTATGTAAACCCAGATCTGGCTCAATCAAGTTCGATTCGAATGTCACTGAGACAGAATCGAACGAATGAGAGCGAGACAAGCAGCAGCAGCAGCAGCAGCAGCTAACTCGACTCACAGCTCTACCTCATCCACTGGCCCGTTGCCTTTGCCCCCGGCGCCAACCTCTTCCCCAAGGCCGCTGACGGCTCCGAGTCTCTCCTCAACCGCAACGTCTCCATCGTCCAGACCTGGAAGGCCCTGACCGAGCTGCCCAAGTCCAAGGTCCGCTCCGTCGGTGTCTCCAACTTTACCATTGAGCACGTATGTCGTCCACTTACCTCGGAAACTCCTACAACCAGACAACTAACATACAATACAGCTCGAGGCCGTCATTGCCGCCACCGGCGTCGTCCCCGCCGCCAACCAGATCGAGCGCCACCCTCGTCTGCCCGACCAGCCCCTGATCAAGTACTGCGCCGAGAAGGGCATCATCATCACCGCCTACTCCGCCTTTGGCAACAACACCAAGGGCCTCCCTCTGCTCGTCAACTCCGACGAGGTCAAGGCCGTCGCCGAGAACCTCTCCAAGAAGCAGGGCAAGACCGTCACTCCCGCCCAGGTCATCCTCGCCTGGTCCCAGATTGGCGGCCACACCGTCATCCCCAAGTCCGTCACCAAGGCTCGCATTGCCGAGAACTTCCAGGAGGTCGACCTGGACGACGAGGCCATCGCTGCGCTGAACAAGCTCGGCGAGACCCCTTACCGCTTCAACATTCCCTTCAACTGTGAGTCTTACTACCATTCGCTCAATGAGGAGGAAACATAAGCTGACTGTTGCCATAATAGACAACCCCAAGTGGAACGTCAACCTGTTCAACACCGAGGACGAGAAGGCTGCTGCCCACACCGCCGTCCTTAAGCTGTAAATTCGGACACGACGAGGACATGATGTGCAACGAGATGAATACCCATGAGCATTGGCCAAGAGCCTTATAGAAGTAAAAAGAAGAGTAAAACGTACATACATCAATAGAATTGCATCAACTGCATTTGCTAAAGATATCATGACAAAGCGACACGTAGATTTCTCCAAGCTTGTTATGGTGGTGATTGAACATCCAAAATGATGGAATCCGAACGTCAAGAGAAGCATGGGCGACTGCTCCAAACGAGTTGCCATGAGGCTTGGCGTTTAAACTATGGGAGCGGAGGGAGGCTGGAGGTGAATAAGGAAGCTTAGGCCTGTCGAATGACGAGGTTGAAGATGAGCGGGAGATGTGGAGCGTGGGGGAAGTGAAAATTGATGGAGAGACCTTTGAATCAGCAGATGCATGCCTGATCCGTCACGCAGATCGACTGCAGAATTTAGTTGCTTGGGTGTCATTCTTGACCTAACCCGGGTATCATGTAGTAGAAAAGTACAAAGTCAAGCTCGCATCAAAAGCCATCGCAAAAATCGGCTGCATATCCATCGTAAAGAAAGCGATTCCACTCCACATGCCAGGGGGAAACAAGATCTGCCATATCCAGTAAAATTCCTTGCTTCCAGTTCTCGCTCCTCTTGATCGTCATACATAGGCCAGCTCGCCAAAACAAGTCAATTTGCGCCTGCATAGCCCGTCTTATATCCACAGCGGCATTGGTATCGTCTTGGGGAGGTATGAATTCGTAAAGAATAGCAAAGTATTCCTCGTAGGGCGACATTTGGCGTTTGACGCGATCCAGCACGACACCTGTGGGCCAGAGCTTGGGGCCTAGACCGGAGAGCTCTGCGCCGCTGATGGTGAGCCATCCATAACACTCTCTGATCCGGGGGAAAGAGGATGTTGTGAGGGAGATGGAGTTGGCGGCATCTCGCATCTTTGGCTTGAGGCGACCCTCGTTGGAGAAGGAGTAGAGGTTTCGAACGGCGTCTTTCCACGTCTTGGGCTCCTTCTTGAGGTATACGGGCTCCGCTGAGTTTTCGACGGCGGCTCGGATCGTCTGGAGGAGGGCGGATATTTGGCATTCTCTCTGGAAAGCCCAGTATCGAGTTCCGCCCGGCGGTTTATGATCCCAGAACTGTAGCGACGAGTCCCATCAGCTCCGGCTTCTACATATGCGGCTCGGACTTGCTCACCACTTTGAGGGCATAGGGCCGGCCGTTGACCTCGACTTTCCACACTGTCCCGTCTAAGCCGTAGCCGAGCTTTTCGCGCCAGATGAAGCTGTGCGGAAGAGGACAGGCTCTCAACCGTGGTCGTCGGATGCTCGCCCAAGAACAATCCGGAGGGCCAATCATGGGCTGGTCATGGCGAAACGGCGCTTGCTTCTGGGCTTCATGTCGCTCCGTTAAGATTTGGACGGTTGACTGCGAGACGGCCATTGTAAGCGCCCGATGGCAATCGCATTGTATTCGGGCAGAAGGGCAGCTGTAGCGAGTTGGTGTTTGTTGAAGGAATCCTGTCTGCTTGCTGTATTGACATGCGGGCACTCGGTACAGGGAGACGGCTGGCGGAGAATTATAGCACCGGGGCCGCTTTCTTAGCGCATCTGTTTAGCTTCAACTACCCACCCGCCATTTCTTCTATAAGATGGATGGATGGATATTGAGTTGATGGATACATGTATGGACCCTTTCCCTCATGTTCTCAGCGACATCTGCTTGGCTGTGATTTCACACCGAGAACCTCGCGGCGGACTTGCTTCCTATCACGGCTAGCATTTGGTGTGTAACTATGTTTAATTATTCCGTGACGTTAGGCAACCGCTCACGCTTGTGATGCCTCGATCAATCGGATTCCTTGCAGCTGTACAGCTCAACCAACATGCATCTGCATAGATACCCAAGCTCGCAGCGCCGTCCCATGGCGAAATGCCTTGCGGCGTGAAAGCGCGCGCTTATATCTACCTTGAGTGTTGCTGTCCCATAACCCAGCCGAGAATGCACACACTTTTGTAGTTGGGTGAATCATACCCGAAACTCCTGTCTTCCATTCATTCCCCCATGGCCAAGACAATCCTCGACGCCCTGGCTAGCAGAAACCCTGCTCTCGAGAACCTGGCAAAAGAAGGGCCAAATACCATTGGTGACGGCTGGATTCATGTGGAAAATTGGCGGCCGTGGAGAGAGTTCAATTACAAGAATCTCTCCTCCATATATGGAGACGTTCTATCCTTGGCCGGAGACCCCCCGCTGTTGGAGCCCACTTGCAGCTATGACCGGGAGATCTGGGACGAGCACAGTCTGGATATATTTCTCTCCAGATTCATGCTCCCCGTTGTCAATTGGGCGCTGGGACATGCGACCCAAGCCTTGGGCTGGGGTAATAGGTCCATCTATCTTGCCCCCGGAAGCTGGACTGGATCGTCTGACTGGGGCCTCGTGTCGAAAGGCCAAATGCCAGATGGCTATCATAATCTCCTACCAGGCGACACTAAGCTGTCCGTCAAATGGCGGCCAGAGATGGAAGAGTCTCGAGACAGGTATACACGACATCAATGGACCTTGCCCATGTCACAGGTCAATACGTACGCTGTAAGGTCGGGTTGTCGCCACAGCTTCATCATCACCGACCTCCACCTCATTGTTTTGAGGCTGTCCCGGGAGCCTGTGGCTCACGGCTTAGCTTCGAACCGATCCCCCAGGCATTCAACGCAGCTGGGCCACCGGCGGATTGCCTCGGGGAGCACGGATATTTCATCGCAGCTAGAGGCCATGTCCATTGTTGAGTCGTTTGGCGCTGCCTCTTATGCAAGTAGCAATCCCGCCAACAGAGAATACCAGTCTCCGGAATATGCCTCTATCCCTTGGAGTGCCCAAGGCAAAAAGAGGCTCACCGTTAAGATGGGTCTCTTTTGCCTTTGTCTAATGGCGGCGGGAGGAGAGGCCAAGATTGAAACGGCTTATCCTCCATTGGATTCATGGAGGCCAGAATCTGAAGGCTTTCGACACAATGCTTCAGGACAACATGCATATAATCTGCCCGCTGATGCCATAATAAGTACCCAAGAGCCAGAATCTCCCGGTACGGGTCAAACGGAAGAAGAGCACGGGGCGGAGTAGCATCAGTGCATTTAGCCACCTATAAAGCCTTGCCGTTACTATCTCTAGTATTCAATTGTAGTATTGATATCTGACATCTCTTTAACAGCTCTATACCTACATGTATATAGGTCGCGGATGCCTACCTACATAGGCATCACAAATAAATCCCACGCAGGTAGCTGCAGTCCTACTTGCGCCATCTTTCACTTTATAGCAAACGATAGCAAACGAGACCAAACCCATCACGGATTTCTCTGTCTATGTATATGATCCAATCAGCGCAGACTGTCGGCTAGAGGAGGGAGTGCAAGGGTGCATGCAATATTTCGTAGCCGCGAGAGATGTTGGTACTCTTGAGGAGCCAAGGACCGGCCTACATGTGCTTACTTACACTGGCTAACACGAAACATTAAAGGAGGGGTGTCCGCTTTCACGCTCTTCCTTGTCTAAAATATTTGCCTGCTGTGGTGATCCGTATGAGTTCTATTTCTTATGTCGCTGACTTCCTGGCGCCGCCTTACTTATCAGTCATAATATTGCTCTGCTGTAACAGTCTGCGGTATCGATGACTCTACCGAACGTACCCAAAGAGCTCTGGGACCAGATTGCAACCTGCTTAACGGGCCGCGATGTCAAAAGTCTGCGTCTTGCTTGCAAATCACTCTCAGGCACCCCTTTGCCTCTTGACAGAGTGTTTATAAGCGCCAATCCCATAGATATCAGGGTCTTCCGGAACATTGCAGACCATGATGTTTTCAGACATTGTGTGCGTGAGATTATCTGGGACGAGGCACGGTTTGAACGAGATTTCAGAGTTGATGCGTCTAGCGGTCTCGAATGGACTGAAATGGGGAATACTGAAGATATTCCCCCGGATGACTTCTTGACTGAATGTCGTCATAATTTGGATCTCGTTGAAGCAAGATTCGCTCAATACAGACTCGATTTGCCATTTATCGCACTCATGGTCAAAGAGATGGAGGCGGAATTGACCACCTATGAATCTTGGTGGTATTGCCGGCAGTTCCTAGGCGAGCAACGCAGAGTTTTAGCAGATGATTTAGACATCAAGGCATTTGAGTATGACCTTGATCGCTTGCCGGCTTTAAGCAGAATAATCATCACGCCTGCAGCTCATGGGACGTTATTTGCTCCTCTGTACAAAATATTAATGACCCGAACTTTGCCATATGGCTTGAATTACAGCATTCCACGTGGCTGGCCGGTCTCGGGTAAATCCTATCTTCCGGCTGATGAATGGATAGAAGAGAACAAAGGGAAATGGCGAGGATTCAAGAAAGTAATCCGCTGTCTGGCAGAACATGAAGAAGCAGCAGCAGTGAAAGAGCTGGTGTTGGACACTCACCTCTTGCCAACCGGCGTAACTTGCCGCTTTTTCGACCAGCCTAGTTTGGAGTACGACCACCTTTGTTGATCTTCTTCAAAGACCTGGGTTCCGTCGCCTTGATCTTGCTTTGATGGCTGGTCAACAGGAGCCGGGCGATTGGGAGTCTCTTCGAAACGGACGCTTGCGAAGCGCGTTGGCAGAAGCTTCAGACTTGGAACATTTTCAACTAAACACAGACATTGGATACCACAGGACAAAAGATGCCGGCGCCCACCTTGCCCTCCTCCACGACATTTGCCCGATAGTGCGAAGGACGAAGCTACGGCATTTTGGATTAACGAGATTTCTTTCGCAGCGTGATCTTGTTGCCTCCTTATCAAAGCTGCCGGCCTCTGTTCGAACCGTTGAGTTGAATTGTCTGTATTTTCTCTCCGGCGATGGTACCTACAGAGATCTGCTGGATGCTATGCACGAATCTCTGGACTGGAAAACGAGGAATGCTGCTGCGCGTCCAAAAGTGACTATCAAACCGGACCGTCTAGATCACGGCAAAGTCGATGGCCGGACTATTTGGCTTGAAGAAGAGGCCGGTAAGTTTTTGTATGAGGGAGGGCCCAATCCGTTTCACCAAGTACTCCGCGATGAAGTACTACCCGGGCATGGGGGTAAGCTGCGAGATGAGTTTCAGCCTGACCTGGTGCACCCATGGGTAGACTATGATGCCGTCTTGCCCATGGAGGCCGAGAAGGAGTCTCCCTCTGTTACAATTGAGGGTGGCGAATGATGGCATCTAATTAGACTGTCAATTGTTTCTTTCTGATATCGGGCCTGGCTAGTGTGTCTTCTTGACGGTTAAGAGACCTAATTGTCTGGGTGAGATATGTTGGCAGTATGCTAAAGAGTCCTCTATGTCGTAAATAGTCGCTGGAATGATCTACGACAATTGTGTTCTATGAAGCATATGAATCAGAAGGATTGCATGAACAAATAATGTCTTATCTATGCTTCTGGATGCTTGCTTCCAACCACCTTTGACTATGAACCTTCGAGGGAGCGGATCTGTCCTCTAAATGCATAGGGTAAGCACATTTTCGACAATAGTAAAGATCTGCCTCATACAAGTAAAACCGGGTTACAATATTAGAACTAGCTGGTCGAGCTTCTCCCTGGGTTCATTCAAAGTTAGGATATGATTTCGTGTACACATCCAGCATTTTTCTCTCGGGAGTACAATCGTTAATCTTCCCATACGAATACTGATACCGACGGCTGCCAACCTCCCAATCCAGTTTCCCGCTGTCCGCACAACGGAAATTGCTGGATCCAGTGGTGGTATCATTAGCTCCTCCCAACTATCAACTATAATCATTCTGAATGACTGCTGAAGGGTATTGAGGGATGAATGACTCTCCCCTGAGCAATTGCAGTGAACCCGAGAGACGAGAGGGCTGTTGAGCGCAGACAAGACGTCCAGATCACCGACCCATGCCGTGCTGTCAAAAACTTGAACGAGTGCTTCATGTAATACAGTGTTGGCATCTATATGGTGTTCATTTCTGTTCTGGTCGAGCAACCCTTGCTGATATTGAGTAAGACTCAAATGCATCGAGGTTTTTTGAAAACTGTTTTCAATCTCGCCCGAGAAGCTGTTGTGGTTTAATAAATTCCACTCATCAGTGTTTGTCTCCCTAATTCTAGGCACCGGTGGAGGAACAAGTAGTGACACGCCCGGCTTCCCAATATTGCCCAAAACTCTCTTGATTTCGGTTTCTATCGGGACGTCGTGTGGGTCAGCCAGTAGTGGAGTTGCAACAAATATGGCATCGTTGGAAGTGATTGCGAATACATCTTGGAGATGGGCCACATCTAGTAATTGGCCACATTCAAACATGGTGATACACGCAAATGCTTGTGGTCTCGACAATGTTGGTAGCAAGCGAAATCGACCATGTTGTCGCCTTGGAGGTATCCAGGTCGCATTGGTAAGTGAAATCTTGCTAACAATTGTTGGATCGACAGTTGCATCGGGAAGGCGTCCATACATCTCGAGTGCTTGAGCACACCCACCCAATACATGTGTGTAGAATGAATGCTTTGTGCTTATACGCGTCGTAAACCAATTTATGAGTTTATCGTAATTGCAGGGATACGCTTCCAATGCTTCTTTAATAATGTCTGCAGTAAAGTGGTGGCCCATAGGGCTATCCCCAGGGCCGAACTGGCGTTTGCGAGGATCAGGGTCTGTACTGATTTTTGTCATGGACCCAGTGCTTAGGATTTCCGCCGACAGGCTCTCACCGATGCAGAACTTCAAGGTCACGAATTTTTCAGAATATGAGGGGTCGTTCTGTCCTAATGCACGTCAGTCTCTAAACTATCAAGAGAAGAGATCAATAAAAGAGCAATCAACAAGAAAGAGAGAAGAGAGATGGAAATGAGAGGTTGATAACGAGTTAAATCAACAATACCTTGAGATAGCTTGATTAGCGCATCTAAAAAGTTTTCTCCATTTCCAAATGCCAAGTCACCAGTGATCATATGCACTGGCAAACATCCTTCACCAAGTTGCTCGATTCGGTCTATGCGCTCTCTCGGCGGAAGTAAGAGACAATCTAAGCTATGCCCTGGTTGTCTGTTGTGGCAATTAATAGAACAACCTCCCGTCCGAATACAAGGACAGGGTAGTGCCAGCTGTTCGTTCTTCGGCCACCCGAATCGAAATTTTCTAGTGGAAGTAGAAATAGAAGTATAAGCACTTTCCCGGCAGATGCCTTCACACGAACATGGGGCTGGGTTCAACTCGACAGGGATCCATCGTAGATGCATTCCCAGCATTGAAGGAGGATATGGTTGACGAATGTAGCCACCCGATTGTTTGGAGCCAAAACGCTCATCGATAGGCTCGATAGTTGCAAACTCTGGATGACCTGGAGTGACAAAGTATCGGATCACACAATTGCTATTCGAGAGCCCCAGGCTTCTTGCATACCTCCTCAAGCATCCAATTCTGGCTTCAGAAGTCTCAAGCAGGGAAAACAAGGACGGGATATAGGAAAGTCCAAAGAATGGTGGCGGATGATCCTTCGCATCGCAGAGAAATCGACCATGACGACGACCATGCTCCATCAACTTTCTCGCCGTCGCTCTCTCAATTTCGCTACCGGAAGACAGGTCCTCGGCCGCCGTAAGAATTTGCCCTAGCCACGAAGTTTTCTTCACGATATCTTGCATGCGCTTTAAATTCCCCGGATTTGGGGTTGATGTTTCGGGCCGCCGAAGCGCTTTCATCAGTTCCATCAATAGCTCAAGTGATTTGTCGACTGATTTGGTGAATGCAGACCATGGGGAAATGACGCATCCAAGCAGAATAAAGCGAAATTGATCCATGGAGATCCGATTGGAAGCCACACCAAGTGTATGATTGACAATGACCGGATCTCCGTAGTAACGTAGATAGGACAAAGGCAGGGACCATGAAATACTGCCAGCAGTTTCGCCTGGATGCTCGAGATCGATGGTTATTATCCCAGATTTCGAAATGAGTTCGTCTTTCTGAGATATGACATCCGGACCACAACTCAAGACACATAAATCTGGATACAGGTGCCAAGATCTTATTGCCAAGAGTATTGCGCCGTTTCTCACTTTCAGTGGAACACCCATGATCAATGAGTCCATTGAAGACATGGCATCTTTCCAGGCAAGCATAACGCTGTGATAGGGGTCAGAATTCCTGTTCACAGCCAGACCAGTCTTATCAGTGTAAAGTAGTGCTTTGCTCCTTTGCTCCTTTGTCTTCTTATTTGCCGTCTGTACCCATGATCTGGCACTGTTGTCCCATGAGGCAAGTTCATCTCGGGAGAATTCTTGTTTGCAAGCGAGCGCCTTTGCAATGTCCTCAATCGACGTGGCATCTTTATTGGTGGCTCCTATTTCCGCCTTTCTCCTTTCAATAAGCTGCAACCAAAGCGCAACAGACTCGGGTCCCGTAAACGCCTCTGCCAACATGCAGGCGAGCAAGTGAATCGCAATGGCATTTGTGCCGGACGTTGCAGCGGCCCACAGACTGGTAGAGTCTGCGCCGGAATATCGGGCGAAGATTCCGTGGCGCTCCCTGTCTTGGGGGGTTATTTTTGCCTTTTGGCAGATTTCGCTGACTCGATTCCCATAAGCTGCCAGCAAATGCTCGGCCCGGGGAGGAATCCCGTCAAAGAGAGCCCCGAGCTTCCTGGCCGTCCTATGGAGGGCGCCATTCTCGGCATTCTCTCGCCGAACCTCAGTAAGACTGTCATTCACTCCACTGTATTCCTTGGGTGCCTCCACTTTGATTAGTGTGAAGTCGAAGTTGAGATTAGCGGCGGCTACTGTGAGCTCGTGTGAGAAGCCTGCTAGTCTCGCGATAATGGAGTTCTCCATAGCAACGCTGTTGAAAGACGTCTGGTGCGAACACAGCAGATGAAATGAAGCAGAGTTGACTGTTGAGTTGTGTACATGTAGATTGGGCTTTTGAATTGGGCACTGAGATTTGAGGCTGCGATAGTCACGTGTCTTTAATACATGTACTACATAAGAAAAATGAAAAGGCTGAGGCTCGCAGATGACCTGGTACGGGAACAACAGGAGCACCATGTTAACCAACCTACTCGTTAAGAATTCCGCGATACCATATGCTAGTGTCATCTGTCGCAAAGTATTTACCTGTAAAAGTGGTCAAACGACTTCAATTAATCTGTATAAATCTTCTAATGACTTCAAATAGTTTCAGATTGAGAACGCTATCGTATCGACATGACGTATCAGCCTCTTGAGCCTGACCCCTTAGCTGGGCCAGTACGCAATCGCTGGACACTGGATACATGTATCTGTTGGCAAAAGGACATATTAATGTGCGCTTTATTTTATACAGCGGTAAGCCATTCGATTTAAAAGCCATTTTCTACGGCATGTTGCTAACTTTTCGCACGACAGTTCTATCTCTGTAATCTTTCAAGACTGACTTTGCTTCTCCAGTGTATCCCGTCTTTATCATCCATTCACGGGCGGATTTGACTCTGGTCGGCAAGATCTCATCAAGCAGATCGTAGTCTCTCTTACTCAGCTCATTTTTCCAACAGTTCCAGAACCCGCCGTAGCTTTGCCTGTAGGTGAGCAAAGTGGGATCATTGGGATCGGCTGAATGGCCAAGCTTTCTCTCTGGATCTGGCACAGTTCCTCGACTGAAATATTCATCTAGGGTAAAGTCTTTGTATACTGCCCTTTTGCCTGTCAGCTCAGTGAAGGTGGCTGCAAGATCACTCCAGTTGACGTCTTCTGTACCAATGTGCAGATTGAGGCCATTGCTGCGAGCGGGCGTGTCAAAGACCCATCGCACATATTTCCCGTAATCCTCAAGGTGCATCAGAGGGAATTTTGCTGGCCCAAGAGGAGCAGCGAAAACAAGCGTAGTCGGGTCGTTGGGGTCAGGAGTTGGCCGAAGAAGCTCTGTCAAAGACTCCATATATGTACAAGCCGTCAACACCGACCAGGCCATTGGGGCTGTTGATTGAGCGGAGATGTAATCAGCCACTTTTCCCTTTGCATCGAGAAAAGATCGGTATTTGGCTTGGAAATTGCCCAGCTTGGATGAATACTCAACGCTTGAGTATACGAAGTGCTCCAAGCCGAATTCTCGAGACAGTTCATAGAGGCGGATGCCCCAGTATACCTCGGCCTTTTCTCCGATGGCAAGTCCATTTGTGTTGACAAAGATTCCGTTGACGCCATTGAGAGCCTGACGAAGCGTCGGTTCATCGTAGGCGTTTCCTTCATGGATTGTCACTCCCGGTATTGCTGCCAAATCTTGGGCGTCTTTTGATGAAGCATTTCGTGTGACTATGCGCAAGTTATACTTTGAATCGGAGGTCAAGGCTTTGCTTTCTATTAGTATAAGTATAGAACTTTGTTTAATAGAAGGCGGCAGACCTTTGACAACTGGTACTCCTTGGGCACCTGTTCCACCGATGATCAATATGGTTTTCTTCATCTGAAGATTGTATGGCGAAGAGGTCGAATTATGTTAATGCCTGTCTGGGGCTTTTTGACATCAATGGAGCAGAGACATGTTGAAATATATAGTCATATAATCTTTTCGAGTGAGAGGAAAGTAATTTACTTGAACAACGCAACATCGGACGTCATAAGCTTCGATTCTATCCGCTAGGGCTGGGATTAGAGTTTAGTGCCAGACTGCATCCAAGTTCGGATAGAAACTTGGCTTCGGATAGAATCCCGCCTCTTTCGGATGGATTATAAATCTTCAGGCTAAGAGATGAGTGGCCCTGTATAGGACGCTACGGGTATTCATAGAGTCCATCATAGTCCCACAGCTCAACTCATTACATTAACTGTGAATCTCATAGGCGCGGCGTGGCTACGGCAACAATGGAAAGCCATTTGGGTTGATTAAGATACACGTGGCCTTTCTGTATTATTAAACAATTGAAAACTAGAATGTCGAAGTTTCCTTCGGCAGTGATGCTGGCAATAAATTGGGTTCGACATAATGAACATGATCAGTCGGTGATACCTTAGCATGCCTGCGCACTCCGTATTCTAGCCGCTAATATTAATTTCGGTCCCTACTGAGGAGATCAGATTGTATCTTTTCCAACGGATTTACATCATCCGTACCAGCGGATTTGCAAAATGGCCGGTGAATGGGATTGGCCTCAAATGGGGCAGAGGAACGACCACCCGCAACACCAGATCAAACAAACCTACATATTCTTCAATGCATATATCAAGCCATACGTCTCAATGACTGACTAAAATAATTGTGAGATATAAAAAAAAGAATTATAATGCCTTCTCTCTAACCTTGACAAGGTGCAAATGAATGGTATATTCAGATGATATACACGTACTTTCGATTCATATTTCTCATAAGAAGCCCCCAAATTTGCTCCATTCGTTTGTAAAACTTCAGTTGGATTAGTTCGTGTTTCAACCTGCACCCTTTGTCGAAAAAATCATGGAGACTCGTTTTTTCCATCGACCCCCTCGACTGATACTATTTTGGACGTTCGCTGTGGCCATGTGCAATTCGGTTATCCATTTGGCTTCCCTCTCTGGCTTCTGTGCTTCCCAAAGCTGCTGCCGCGCTTTTTCGGCCCGAATAGCTGCTTCTCGGTGTTCTTCCGGTAGTTGCAGTATTTCGTCGCGAGTTTTATCTCTTCTATAAAGTTCTTCTTGTTTTTCCAATTCTTTTAGTTCTTGTAAGGTCAAGATACAGTCTTTAGAAGAGGCCCCTGCATTGATCAGACAAAGTCCTTGAATCACCGAGAGAATACTTACCGTCCTTCTTCTTATCCAAACTGAGAATACAAAAATAGAGTCGGTAGTCCGTAGGATCATCTTCGGAGTGTATGTCGAAGAAGTGTTCCTCTTGCTCCGAGAATATATTCATTTCGAACAGATAGTTGTTGCTCACAATAATGTCCACGCACATATTTTCAAGCACGTAAAAGTTGCATTGCACTGTCGTACCGCCCACTCTCCATTCGACATCTCGTACAATGCCGCTGATTGTAGCTGTGGATCCATCAGCGAGTCGAATTGTACCTCGATTTTCGATGCTACCGTCAACCTCCAGACCAATATTTCGGGCATATGCTCCGTTGATAAGCATGGCATCAGATCCTGTGTCGGGCAGGGCAGCTGTTAAATGGCCGTTCAAATACCCCCGCAAACGTTGCTTCTCATTTCCCAGGTAGCTCAATGAAAGTCGCTTAGAAGCCCCCAAAACCTTGAATTTGATGCGATGGCAGACCTTTTTCAGAGCGTTTGTCGCTTTTAAGAAATCGTTTCCTAGGACCAAATCACTGACACATCCTGGAAGGATCCAACAGTTTATCGTATGCGTGATCTGTTCCTTGCTAAACTTCCATGGCACTGTTACCAGTCCAGGAGATTTAACAGTCTTTTTGTTGGCAAGTGTTATCCATTTTGGTGGCCCGGCAATGGGACGAAGGCCAAGACGAGAGGTTAGTTGTGGCGATATGAAACACGCTTCTGCCCCAGTATCTGGAAGAGCCTCCACAACTGTCCCGTTCACACTTCCGCCCACGTAGAATTCTTTCTCCCCAGACGAGAAATCTTTAGTATGTTTGCGCTTTATCGAGACAGTCAAATCGTTAATGCGTTTGACTACAGCGGCAAGCAACTCAGATTCTTTGCTCTGCAGGGCGATAAGTGCCTGCCGCTGCTCGTTACTAAGCTGCTGAGATAAGTCTCTGTTGGCTGATTGAGCATTATAAACTTCAATACACTTGCTCACTAGTATAGCTGGTATGCGGTACATCTCTTCTACCTTAGTAATAAGTTGTCCATGAGATATCAGCTTGGTTTCGAGTTGCCGGATCAGCCGAGACACCGAAGGATCCTCGGTAAAAGAATCATCTGCCTCAGCCTCAGCCACTGGGCCGGGTTCCGTCTTGAGAGGTGAAGGTTCTTGAGGACCTCTGTTGCCCGGGCTCCAGAGCTGACGTATACTTAAACCTTTGGGTATGCGATTAAACTCTTTGTTGCCGTCGACTTGCTGCCTGCCTTGCCCTCGCCTAATAGGCGTTGATGGTGGAGGAGAGTAAATCTTTTTATTGCGACTCTTCTTATCTGAGCTCTCCTTGGCATTGAAAACACTAGTATGCTCTGAATCTTGTTGATCATCAAGCTGATCTAAGGTAGATCTTTTCTTTGATCCTTTATTCTGGTCTTGTTCTGTAGACTGGGATCTTTGGTATAGGTACCTACTTATATTAGATAAGGTAAGGTACATTTATTTGTTCGGCGGGGGCTACTCACTGAGATTTAGATGAGGTGAGCTTCATCCGCTGGAAGGCGTCTAGAATGGCTTCCTCCTCCGTGGGGTGCTTTTCGACGTTATTTTTATGTCGGAAATGTTGCTTAAATCCATCGAGCGTGGGCGGCTTAACGTCTACCTGACAAATAGCGCAGCTGAACTGGCGTGAGTTGCGCAGGTAGTTGACCCAGATTTTGGAAATGTCCGGTTGGGCAGAGGGCATTGTTGCTTAAAACCCGGCCAAACGGATATTTTGACTTCTTCGCAAAGATGGAAACGAATGTGTGACAAAATGATATCGTTACTGTCCCCAGATGAAAGAGCTCTGATCTCGACGTTGTTTAGGTAAACGTATCCTGGCGCCGGAATATTTGATTTGGGGAAAAGGATGTTAAGGGAACCGACGTAAGTAATTGTAACAGCTAGGCAGCCGTATTGTGAGATGCACTGCGCCACCTTGGGCTTTATATTGGGCTTTCATGCACGCATCTGTGTGCAAATTCAGCCTCACCAAACCCAGATTCCTGCCCAGCCACCCATTTATTTGTCTCCAATCAGTAACGAACACGTTTGGTGGCCGCTATGAACCTTTGAGTTTTGTGCAACCTTACTTGGATCTTCATGAATCCAAATTCTCCTTCTTGGTGGCTACTCTCTCGGTTTTCAGTTTTCTTTAAGTACATGTGCTCGCTTCATCGAGTGGGTTTTCTCATTCGCTGCACAGTTGAGCGGGCTGCAAAGATACTATAGTCATCTAGTTACCACTCTTTCCCCTGCAGGACAATGGCGAGAGCGAAAGATTCAAGCGGTAACTTCTTTCACCCGAAGAAGGGATTTGCGCAAGTTGCAAGGTGGATTTCCCTCGACCCTGACAAGGAAACGTCCATCTACCGCAGGTTCGACGAGCTTGCAGCCCGAAATTTGCTGTACTTGCAATCTGAGCTCCTCGTTCTTGAGAATAAATTGGATGAACTAGATAGAAGTGATGCCAAAAGCGAAGATATGAACCTGGCAGATGCTATCATGACATGGGAAACACTAGAACGACAGTATGATACCGGTAGTGAGAAAGCACGAGTCCGCATGGACTTGATTGTCAAGATACGGGCTAAACTAAAAGAATATCGTTCGTTAAACACCTAATGCCACCTCGAGTAGCGGCTAATAACTATTTAGATGAGGCACTGTTGTTGCAAAGTGAGATGGCAAAATTGAAGCAGCCTTCCAAGCGTATTCTTGCTACATATCGAGAGTGGTTTAATAACCCACGACCTGCCCTGGGGGGGCTTGCAAAAACATTTTTGGATAAGCCAGATGACCTTGTTGGTCTCCATTCTTTGGAAACCGACTATCTATCTGTCTTCTTAAGGCGATACTGGCCGTTCAAGGTACACAATCTGGTCCATATTCATGAAAAGTCCGCTGACCATATAACAGGAAGAAATCTCTTTGGATAGTCGCCGCAGTGTTGGAAGATATCATGAGAAATCTATTTCTGCAGCAACTGCTATCATAAGCATTCTTATAGCTGCATTCCTTTTGGTTGGTCCCATCACAGGTCTCTATTTCGTCGCCAACGATGCCGCCAAGCTTGGCATGCTTGCTGCCTTTACGGCGTTGTTTGCCTTGAGTGTTGGTGTTATGACCAACGCAAAGAGAGCGGAGATATTTGCATCTACGGCAGCGTAAGTTATCTCGGTATTTGCAAGTTGATATTATGCTAAGCTAATCTTACGTAGCTATGCCGCCGTACTCGTGGTGTTTGTGAGCGGAAACATCTCGAATTCTACGACTTCTCCTGCAACATGAAGGACAGAGTTCGCTACAACACACGACGAAGCTAAACCTATGCTTATCGTATGCCTATTTTTGGGCGTTGCGCCACTACACAAGCGTGACGCCTCTTCCAGGCACAAACTTTTGACATGTCGTGGACATTGCCGGAAATGGCAATCATGAGAAGCCTCGTTACCTGCCAATACACTCGCTGGATGACGATTGTTACAAAGTAGTGATTTGTCGTCTCTTTACCCCTGTTCTCGCTGATCTAGGCTTCTCGCAAATCGAGGCTGGCTGAACTCAATCGAGACTCGCCTAACTCGCCACCAATACGACCACTATTCCCACTAGCATCACAACTAGCACAAGTAAGATGCTTAGTAGTAGAGCCCCACGGAAATCTCTTCTTTCACGTGTGCTGGCAATATGCTACTCCGTATCAGGTCTACTGGCCATTGTTTCGGCCTGGTCCGCACGCGCCGTGCAAGTTGATTGGGAGAGATCGGGGTTCAGGAGGCCTAGATTGATCCAGGAACCCTCGGGTCGGCCCCTGTTAAAGCTGTCTCGAAATCTTCATAGGCTACGGCTTTAATATGTCCAATTCCAGTCTCCCTGTGGGGAAACAAGCACTCAGCTGAACCAGAATCTATGCAAAGTTTCCGAAATTGCAAGAAACTAATGGGACCTGTCAATAGTCTCGGCGCTACGCTCACGATGGCCTCAAAACACATGATGATTTTATCGATAGTTTGCTGCTACTCTCGGAGTGGCCTTATGGAAAGGGTCTTGACCCAGAGCTGGACATGTAATTCCGCGCCTTGTTGAAAGGCCTCCACGGAACATGGCCGGACGAAGTCTGCCTTGATATATGAAGAGTAAATCCGTGCTAAACCCTCGAGAGAGACTCAAGGACTTTCAGTTATTCACTCGATCAACGACAGCCTACGGTATCGAGATCGCGGGAGCTGCCCGGCAATATGCGCCCTGTTCTCGCCAGCGCCATCGCGCTTCTTCTGGCGACTGAGGCGGCTGGCCATGCCATCCCAGTCGTCGAAAGCAACGACTTAGTCGCCCGATCCTCGACGTTCCGAGCAAACAACGGCGTTCAGTTCGCCGTAGAGACGGGCTTCGACCATCACGGCGGAGATTACAAGTCGATTACCTCCAACAGCCTTCACGACTGCATCAATGTCTGCTCAACCCAGGCTTCATGCCGCGCCGTCTCCTATTCCGGCAAGACATGTTGGCTAAAGTCTTCGGTCAACGCCGCTGTCAAAAATGGCAAAGTGACTGGCGCCGTCCGTACACAATATGCACCGACTCCGATTACTTGCCCGGCAGATGGAAGCAGTCGGGTGAAGATGGCGGATGGACGGTACTTTACCGTTCAGTGCGGAGTTGACCATCCTCATGGTGACATCAAGTCGACACAAACATTAGACTTTGCCAACTGCATCCTCCTCTGCGATGAAACCAAGGGCTGTGTCGCTGCTACCTGGCGGACTGGAACGTGTTATCTGAAGAAATCTTTACAGTCAGGGGCTGCTGGCACTGGAGCCAGCACAGCTGTGTTGACTTCGTTGTTGCCAGCTGCCCCGGCTTTCTGCCCAGGTCCAAGTGGCCAGCAGATTAAGGAGACCAGTGGTAGAACCTTTACCGTTTCTTGCAACAGTGATCATCCTGGCAGTGACCTAAGGAACAAGCTACTGGCTAATTTCGGAGACTGCATTGCATGGTGTGACGAGACGACCGGCTGCGTTGCCTCTATCTATCACGATGGCCGATGCTGGCTGAAGAGCAAGCTCACAGCTTCTACGCCACGAACAAACAGCCAGTTCGCCGTACTAAGCTCCGCGCTTAGCCCTCCGGCTTCTCTCTGCCCGAGCCAGAGCGGCAAGCAGATCAAGGAACCAAGCGGCCGTAGCTTTACTATCGCTTGCAACGTGGACCGTGCCGGTGGTGATTTGGCATCAAAGAAGCTCAACAACTTCAACAGCTGTATCACTTGGTGTGACCAGACGAGCGGTTGTGTTGCTGCTGCTTACCATGACGGTGAATGCTGGCTGAAGAAGACGCTGTCAAAGACTTCAACTCGCGCGAATGGCCAGATTGCCGTGCTCAGCAGCAAGTTGCCACAGACGTCTACCCACACTACATCTACGTCCACCAAGAAGACTACATCGACATCCACGAAGAAAACAACCTCGACTACCACTACGAAGAGTACATCTGTGTCTACCCAAAAGACTACATCATCAACTGCCAAGGCTTCGTCTACGTCGACTAGCTCTCAGTCCTCTCAGTCCTCTACCAGCGCTTCTACCTCAAGCAATACGCTTATCAGCTCTTCTAGCTCTAGCTCTGCTGTTACCTCTCCTCCAGCTGAGACCACAACCGCCTCCACGCCCACGACAGACTCTAGCTCGGATATTTCAACAAGCCCCCCAGACACTACATCATCAAGCGATGTTCAGACTACTACTGGTCCTCCAGCTCCTCCCGGCACCGCCCAAATCCCAAGCGGACCCCTTACCCTTCCAGCTCAGCCAACTGTCACTCTTCGTCCATTGGCACCTCCAAATGTCGATGTTGCAGGCACCGAAGTTATCACCCCCAAGGAGGTTTCGCAGCTCTGGTTTGGGAGTACATCACCGGGATCGGATGACCCAGATGCGGTCAACTCTCCCACAGTCCGCGTCAATGTCACCTTTCAGTATCCCTCGGTTATACTTGACAACTCTATCAACATCCTCAATATCCAGTGTGACTCGGACAATAGTCTGTCTGCCAGCTTTGATGGAGCCAAAGCCTACAATGCTGCCAAGGAATCTTGGGCTGAGGCTGAGGGTAGCGGCAACACTCTCATCATCATCACCGCAGCTTCTGGGTGCAGTTCAGACGGTCACTATGTCTATTTTGTCGCTACTCACATTACCTTTGACGACGCGACCAAGTCTGTGAGCTGTTCGGGTTCTATGAAGTCGGTTGCCGACATTGCTCAGGACGTTGGCGTCGACTTTGGCTCCATTGAGACTTCTGTGCCAACTCTTGAACCAAATCCTGAACTTGCGGCTACCTATGGATGTACCGCACCCAGTGAAAACGAGGTTGACGGTTTGCCAGCTATTTACTGCGGTCCTGATTTCGATTACCGCCTTAACAACAAGCTCGGCTACTACTCTGTTGCAGATGAAGATCTTGATGTAAGCATCTTGCTCCCAGGGCCTCTTTTCTTCCATATCCTCTCTTTACGTCAAGATGTAGGTACTAACATTCAAATAGGCCACCTTTGCAGCCGTCATACCCGGAGTCCAACTCAGCGACCTTCAGAGCCGAGCCCTTCTTGAGCGCAGATGCTGGCCCTCTTTTGCATGCAAAGCCGTCGCTTGGGTTGATCACACCGCAACTACGGCGTACAATGCAGTCAAGGACGATGCCAAATCCATTGGCAATGGAATCGCAAATCTCGCCACAAATCTTGCAAACGATGCTGTAAACAACTTGAAGAACCTTGGAAATACAGTCCTAAATGCAGCCGAAGGCTTTGCCAAGGGCCTGCTTGCAGCTGTGACATTCATCATCACGGGCGACTATGACCGATCGTTTGACTTTCCCGTGCAAGCTACTCCGCCAAAGAGCGCGCTGGATGACTCTCCCTGGGGTGATGGCTTCAAGTTTTATACGTGGACTCCTGATAAGGGCGAGTACTGGGATGCTCAGAGCGCGGCCATTGACAAGATCAAGGGCGTCATCATTGGTGAGGCGGATCCGGAGCCCAGCATTGAGCTTTGGTGTGTCGATTGCCAGGCCAATGGTAAACTCAAGCTTGATGGAAGCGCCTCTTTCTCTCTCATCAACGGCCTCACTAAGGCCCAGCTTTCTTTGGATGGAACGTTGGATGTTGGTCTTTATCTTGGCATGAATGCTTTTGCTGAGTGGAATCCCAAGGAGCAGTACGACTTCCTGTCCGTGGGTCTGCCCGGGCTGTCGATCCCTGATATTCTCACCATTGGCCCCGTGCTGTCTCTTGGAGTGTCTGCAGATTTGGATATCGCTGCCGTTGGACAGTATCTCGTCGGTGCTGACATGCAATGGACGCAGCTGTCAGCTAAGCTAGATGTTCTTAACCCCAGAAGCTCTTCCAAGTCAGGCTGGATACCAAATATCCGGGACACAGTTCAGGCTGATGGTAGTTTGACAATCAACTCTACTCTTGGTCTTCCTATTACCCTTGGATTCGGTCTCAATATCCTTAATGGTAAATATGAGAAGGAGATTAAGCTTGTCGATACCCCCGGTGTTCGTGCTAGCAGTAAGTTGCCCCTTTCCCTCTTTAAGCAACTCTTGCATACTAACCACTATGGCTTTCTTCTGTGCAGTGGAATACGACTTCACCAACGAGGTCAACAACGGCGAAGTCAACACTGACCCCGAGGATGGCTGCTACGGCATCCACTGGAGCGTCGGCATGGTCAACACCGTTGTGCTCGATCTCTCTGACATCAAGCAAGGAAAATACACTCTCGACGAATACGACGCTCCTGTTTTTGCCTCTGGCTGCATCGGCGAGAGCCTCACCATCGCTCCTCCTACAGCAACCGTTTCTGCTCCAACTGGTGGCACCACTTCTGTTCCCCCTGCTGGTCCCGATTGTGCCTCTCTCAGCTGCCCATCAAACGACGGCCAGTTTTGCGTGGCAGATGGAGCAACCTTCCGCCTGAACTGCAACTTGGTATACGGCTCAACAATTGAGAATGTCTTCAAGTCTCGTAGTGCCGATACCTGCACGAATTCTTGTGCATCTGATGGTAACTGTGTTGGCGTCAATTTCCTCTTCTTTGGGACCTTCAATGTTGCCCTTCCCGACTGTTGGAAGTTTTCCGATGGAGCTCCCATGAATCCTACGTCGGTTGGGATCATGGGTAGCTTCGTAAAAGTGAACTCGCAGCACAAGAGGATTGACCTCGTCCGACGCGTCACGACGGTGGCTACCAGTGCTTCTGCCAGTGGCACTGCCAATGCAAAGGTTCTTGTCAAGGACACTCTCACTTTCACGCCTTCTGCCGCTCCTACTTCTACTACGGCCACTTCAACTGATGCTACATCGACTACTGTCACTTCTGCGTCTTCTGCTACGACTTCTTCCACTGGCACTTCAACTCATGTCACCGCAATCAGCACCTCGACCAGCTCTCCCGATTCAGCTCACGACACCGCTCCTGTCATCATCCACGACGCAACCGGTCACCTACTTATCAATCCCCATGTAAACGGCAGCCTGTTCATCTCTTCAGCCGACAGCTCCGTGTCAATGACCAGCCTAACCAACGGCACCACGTTTGTAGCCGATCTTACTAGGCCCATGGTTAGCGGTGACTCGGCCGGCCGAATCCTGTATTACTTCCCCAGCACCATCTCCGCCGTGGGTGCTTCACGACTGCGATTGGGCACATGGGATGCCATTCCCATCGGTGCCGAGATGATTATGCTGTTCCCTACAGTCACTAGCACGGGAGTGACGGTTCTTGTGGCCATGGACAGCACTCAAAACATCTTTTACCCTTTTGTCTGCGATATTGAGGGCCAGCTGAACAAGATCTTCCTAGTTTCTGATGGTGCAACTGGAGCATCTAAGCTGATGGATCCTGATTTGACTTATACAGTTATCGGAGGTGTTGCCCAGTCGTGCGTGTCACTCGCCATGGTGGCCAAGGATCTACCAGGTTGGAACCCGAATCCTCCCAAGGCTACACCTACAGATTAAAAGCAGTATTTTTTTTTTTAAAAAAAAAGCGTTGTATAATTACAGATTAGAAAATTTAATATTCAATTATTTCATTTCTCAATGCGCGATGAGGTGCACATATTCCAAACAGTGACTCGTGATAATATCCGATTGATTTATCCACGGGTGTTTCCTAAGAACCAATACGATACCAAGACAACGATACACGCATATTCTAATTCAAATATTGGGTACCGGTGTATCTACCCAATACTGATAGCAAGTCGTTGAGGTGTGGCTCATCGAGGCCTGATGATGGAGTGCATATGCATTGTAAACGTGTCTCCAATCACTGTTCCGTAGCCGAATGCTTGAGATCAGGCTTCAAGCATCTTCCTTTCAGCTCACATCTCAATCTTTCAACCAATTCTTACTGCTAGTCACTTCACCCATCACGACTTATTGAATAACGATGTCTGGATTTGAAGCTTTATCGATGGTCTGCAGTATCATGCAGGTCATCTCCTTTACTAAGGAAGTTCTGACTCTCTGCAAAGATGTCTACGAAGGCCGCGAGACAAATGACGGTCGGATGGAAGAAAATATAACTTCCCTCAAAGTTTCATTGGAAGAAATGAATCGCTACTCGGGTTCTACCACGCAACAGACCAAAGACAAAACGGAGCTGTGAGAAATGGCTCAGAAATGTAGCAAAGTCGCACGAGAGTTGCAAAAAGAGATAAAACGGGTCACAAAATATAACGAGTCTAGTGACTACATGAAGTCGATCATCGCCGTATATATGTCCAAAACTCGCAAAAGAAAGATCGAAGGTCTTTATGATCAATTTTGTCAATACCAAAAAATGCTAGAGACGCAGATATTGGTTCATTTATGGTAGGTTAATTGATCGCTCAATCTTGATCGCTCCAGAAAAGTCTTCGTACTTTAGCATGCTTACAATGCCACCTTAATAGCACGAAATCCGACGCCATAGCGCTTCAGCAGCGTGAGAATTTTACAGAGCTTTCGGATACTATGAAATATTTCATCTTACAACTTGCGGCGGGTCACACCAACATGGCCAATCTCATAGCTCGTGATGGCGTCCAGACAAGACAGTATATACAACAATTCGAAGCGCGTATGAAGCAGTCAATGAAAACGTTTCAAGATGATGCCAATAAAGAATCACAGAGAGAACGCCTCCTTCGCAGCCTGAAATACGAGTCTATGAATTCCCGGCGAACTAAGTTCAAGCCTGCCCACGAAGCAACTTATGTTTCGATTTTCGAGTCACTTGACATAAATGAAGGATCGCATGAAATGCCAATTTCAACTTCAGTAGTGGCTTGGAGAAAATTTGTGCAATGGCTTCAATCCGATAAGCGAGTATTCTGGATTCAGGGAAAACCCGGAGAGGGCAAAAGTACGCTTATGAAGTTTCTTCTTCTACATAAAAACACACAGAGAGGACTTGATAAATGGAGTCCCAATACTCTAATTGTTTCGCACTTCTTCTGGAAGCCAGGAGATACTCTACAAAAGAATCTGAGGGGCCTTCTTTGCTCTTTGACCCACCAGCTGCTGTCCGGCAACCATAACCTCATTGATCACATTCTGTCAAGATTTCTGTTCGCTACAGACAAAGACACGATAGGCGACTGGGAAAACGCGAAATTGGAATCCGTATTCCATTCCATATTGATGCAGTGCAAAAGATCAATTTTTTTTCTTATCGATGGCCTTGACGAAGCCACTGAGACTAGTAAGGAAATGCTTCAATATTTTTGACTCTTTTATTGACCTACACAATATCAAGATTTGCATATCCAGCCGGGGCGAAAGTATCTTTCTGCAAAAGTTCTCCAAGTATGACGGATTCAAACTCAACGAGTTAACCGAGAATGATATGCTACAACTTGTGTTAGCAGGCATTCCTGAGACCGATAGATATCCGTCTAATTTCTTAGATGGCTTAAGACGGCTGCTTGTCCAAAAATCTGAGGGAGTGTATCTTTGGCTCGTCATAGCACTTGAAAGTGTAAAGAGGGGCCTTCGGAACAACGACGAGCAACACGAAATATACTTGCGATTATCAAAACTACCATCTAAACTTGAGGAGCTCTATGAAGATATGTGGAGCAGACTTGGGGAAGACAGACATATATATCAAAAGGAAGCAGTGCGGTATTTCAGCCTCCTCATCATGAATCAGTCTCTGCTTGAACAGTACAACAAAGTTCATTCGCAAGACCTGAGGATTTTCAATTGGGACCTAAACCCATTCCAACTCATGCTCACCACAAATGAGAAGATCAAAGGAAACATGTTGGATAAATCATATCCTTTGTCAGTCTCGGAGATAAGTAAGAGATGCACGGATACAATGAAAAGCCTAAGTATCAAAACTGCTGGTTTTCTTACTGTCACTCAATCCGACTACATCTTCCGATTTCATCCTTTTTCAAGTACGGGAGCTAAAGCAGAAATTTAATCGTTGAGTGGCCACCTTACAGGCAAGATAAGCTTTATACACCGAACTTTATTCGACTTTTTCAAGGAATCGGAAGTCGGAAAAGCAATATTTGCACAAAATCAGAAGCAGTCCAGTGATTTAGAGCTTGGAGCAATCATTCTCTGCCAACTTCGGACTATGGAAAGTACTCGACACCTGGACATAACCATTCCCTTCAACCACAATGTGCCACTACACTACTTTCTCTGGATCCTGACCCAACTAGTAGCAGAGGAGTCTGTTTTGAAAAACAAGGAGATTATGAATCTGCTATATACTGCTAGCGATCTATTCGAAGCTGGTCTTTTACCGTGGGACAATCGACCGGAGTGTTATCCTCGTCCAACTTTTGATTCGTTAGTCATCGAGTATCCTGCCTTCGAAAAGTTCATAAAATCGCGTATAGAGGCGAAAGGGCCATCTCACACTACATGCATTCTTCGAGATTTTCTGCTTTTGCGTGCCACGGTATCCGCCGATGATTAGTAAATTTGTGATAAAAAGGGATTGATTCTATCTCTGGACGGCGATATAAATTCTCCTGGCATCTGCCTCTACAAGTTACGTAGCAGGCTCCTTGGCAAGTATACTAGCTACGTGACTTCGGATCCAAGAACGATATTCGATTTCGCAAAATATAAATCAATCTTGGGCTTGATCATAAAAAGAGTACACATGATTGCATTTTTCTATGGCAAAATAGACTATGAATTTATGCAATATATGGTAATGGCATTGAAACGGGAACCGATTTTAAACCAACACACAACTTTTGTCGTGGAAATCAAACGCTCCGAAACATATTCCGGTCAAACTGAAATTGAAACGACTGAACTGGTTGATCTTCTTGCTACAATGGTTTCACCAAGAATACCATGTAGCGCTCCAGACATAGAAATCAACAAAAGTTTGGTGATTAGGTATGGAGATAAATCTCAAGTATCTCGTCGAACAACTCTTTGAATACTTTCCTTCTCATGCCGAAGACAAGAAAAAGCACCTCCTTAATTGCGCTCGCAAAATGGACGACTGCAAGCCCTTTGTCAAAGCTCTTTTCTTCATTCATCAGAAGAAACTCCATGAAAGTACGTGTTACCGTTTCATTAACCCGAATAATGACATCTTGGCTGGTGGTATTATTAACATAGAGCCTTTATCTATCTGGTCTCCGAGTATTCGTACGATTAAATCTATGATACTTGACAACTACCTTATAGAATGCGAGAAAGTTGACGTCTCTACGTTGTCCATTCTACTAGATGAGAAGCTCGGAGTATGTCTTCTTGAAGACATGGGTATCAAACTTCCTAGTTCATCTTGGGATATAGGGAGTTTCAAAATTGCCAAAGAGTAGAATAGAAAGAATCTAGAAGGCCATGATACTCAAAGACACAGAAATATATATTGAGCAAGCATCAATTTTTGAGGGAACTGAAGCCTATATTTTTATACCATATGGATGTCGTTACTAACAGCATCGGACTGCCGCTTCTCCTAAATCCTACCTACATGTATCAGAATGAGTGTTCATAATCTCACAATAATCTATCTTATATGGCGATTGTCCAATCAACTAGGTATCTAGTGAGAGTCCTCAATGATAGGTATGATCTCCTCATTCAGCAGTCCTTCAACCCGTGAATTTGCAGGCTTCACCTCAATGTTGTCTATTCCTTTGGTCTTGAGTTAAGTATATTGTTAGAAGCGGTAGCAACAAGGAATTGGGATTGAAAAGAGGATAGAATAAAACGGACTAGATGATTCTATGACAAGTCAGGAAAAGTAAAAGCGATATCCTACATCTTCCCATGAATTGCATATAGTTTACGGTAAAAGCTTATTTCCCAGTCATTCAGATAATGATGGTCGCAATAAGAACCTTGAAAGTTTGCACTCTCAGTAGCTCCCCTCAGATTGGAGGCTAGGGCACGGTCACAACGGCAGAGGGGTGCCAAAGACAGTATCATTGAATTGAGTAAGGATGCATAAGGAAGAAGAAGAGAAGACCCAGGTCCATGACGAAGACCACCTTAAATACACACAGGCTGCCTGAGGCAGCTAGAGCCCTGTGTGGAAGGCACAGCCCAGCACCCTCGCCCTCTAGCCCAACTAGGCGGGGGCGAGGTGCATGTAAGCAGCAAGCGGATAATAACAGAGAGTTTGATCGTGGTCCCAAAGGCTCAAGTACGCGTCAGCTCTGGAGCCCAAGCAGCGGCGGTCTCCAAAGGCCTTTTCAGCTTCAGAGATAGAGAAGAAGTCTGTGGATGCGTCGAAGATTATTTCTACGTTATATAGATGGCCCTACCAAAAGCCTCTGACCGCCAGCTCTTCGAGGTGCTACTCTCTGTTATATTGGTTGCCTTGCCCTTACAATATCCATATACTTATAAACTAGTGCAGGTGTAGCAAGATTCATTAATCCGTCCATGATTCCATTTCTCCATTTATCATCATGCTTAAGCCGCACAGGACATTTCCAAGTCTGCTCAGCTGATGGCTCATCGAATCTAGCGATGACATAAAAATAACCCAATGGCACTGTTTTGGGAAATGCAGGCTAAAATAAATGAAACAAGAATGATAGGGCATGGCTCATCGAGCCGATTCAAAACCCCCCTCAATTCGTCGCTTCTTGCTGACTGGGTCTCCATTCAGAAATGCCTTAGGTATCGAGGTAGAGACTCGAGCTATCTGGCGGGTTCCCCTAGTGAAGTCCAGACCTAGGACTTTTGAATGAGAAGCCGCCATATGTATTCTTGAGGTAGCATGAGGGGTTTGTAAAGTGCGTACATAAAGTTTTCATATCAACATTTTGTGTGCATTTCTTATTCGATGCTTCACTTTTGTCCGCAACCTACGGCTATTAAAGCCTTCAACTGTAGAATTATCAAGCTTAGACTCCATAAAGCAATAAGTACTTAGGCACAAGGTTCTCTGGACATGATGAAATTGAATAAATAATAAACTGAAAGAGATTCTGTCTTGTCTAAAAAGTGGCTATACAATAAAAATATATGCAGCATGGTGATATAATCGACATGTCCATATGCTTACAACGAGCCGTCTAATTCTCCACTGGCATCTAGGCGTGGAGAGAGTCTCTGTGAGGCAAACTTGATGTCAAAGTCCTTTAGCTCTGTTTTCTTAATTCGCTCTGCTTCTTCAGGACTCTGTGCTTTTTTATACCCAGTTGGATAATTTTGATCGGCAAGAAAGCGGTTGAGATTATAAGACGGGTCATAATCATCAGAATTATCGGTATAGGTAGGAGTTTGTGTGCTTTGAGTGCTTTGGGCGTTTTGAGTGGTAGTCGAGGCCATCGCGTTATTGCTAATGAAAATGTTAGTCTCGGAAGGCAGAGAAAAAAAATCTATTCCTCATATATACAACAAATTGGGTTGATCCAAGATATACCCGTGGTATATATGTGAAGAATGTATCTGTAGATATAAAGAGTGGATTTGATCCGTAGTAACACGTACATTTTGTTGTTATTTATAATAACAGCACCAGTAGATAAACTGGTAATATTGATATATAAGTAAGGGATAATAGACAGGTATATATTTCAGATAATAGGCAGATGTGATTCAGGCGTGAAATTTGATTACACCGTGGTAGGATATGTAAGAGAAACCAGAGCCATGTGGTAGCTGAAGGCGCAAGAGATTGAAAGTGAGGAAAATTCAGCAAGTATTTATATTACAACAGAAGATGAATTTGGGGCTGCCTTTTCCCATTCTGCTTCCCGGTCTGAGTATAATCATACGCCTTCTATCACCGATCATTCATCGATACATCCAGGCGACAATTTAAGCTGGTTGTAAGTACCTATATTGAGAAGAAGGTACATGCACCCCACCCATGTATATCGTAATACGTTCTCCACTTCATTACCTTTTATTACAATAAAAAACGGACCCGTTAGTTACCTAACGAGTTATTGTCCTTTATATTCTCACACCTTTCCTGGGCACATTCGTTATACCCCAAGTGGATGTTGGTTCGCGCGCCACCGGTTTACCTGGTTATTAAGCCCCCAAAGAGCCGCACCTGGAAATATACCTAGGTATGTACAGGTTTGTGGGCCAAAAATCTGTGAACACGATACTAAACACCACTAAAAGTCACAGTTTTTAAAAATTGATAATTAAATCTACAAAATACGTATGCACCTGAGTAAAATCAAAATTTGACAGCAATTGACAAGTATTTTATTTTTAGTAGTATTTGTTTGTAATATGGAATATGAGAGCAGCTGTTGTGGATTACACCTGTGATAGGTTATCCCCTCCTGAAATTGGAACATATTTTTTTTTCTGGTCCGCGGATTTTTGACCCCTAACTCTAGCTAACTAGGTACCTAGGTATCAAGTTGAGGCTCTGCAGCTCTGCCCTCCAACTCTTCCTAAGGCGACGGGAACCTCTTGGCTGTCTAAGTAAGCCAAGCTCTGACATGCTGGCTGTAGTATCACGGCACTATTAATGCCCTAATAAATGACTTCTGAATAAAGGCGGATTTCTATTTTCATTCAGCATAATATGCCTAAATTCTCATGCGAAAATCAGCATCCTAATCACGACCGGGCAGATATCAAAACTATGCATTTGAAGCTACATGCGTGGTCCCTCAAGGCCATTGAGGCTGTCTTGTGAATTACATATACTGCAAACCTTTGAAGGTAAAAGTAGTTCCTAGCCGGCACCCACGAGTCGTCCAACGGTTGTCTCTCAAGGCGATGTTCAACAATATTCCAGACGAGGCGGCACAGGAAAATAGCTAGCTAGTCCTAGAAGGCACATTTCACTTACTACCAACAGTCCCCATATGCTCCAAACAGAATGGCCGCGGAATGCTAACGTATTTCAGACTGGAATAATGGTGGATGCAATGAAGCCAACTAGACAGTTCTGTTTTGAGAAGCTCCACGACCAAATGCTTTTTATTTCGCTAGTCAAGTTATTAAAAACGTGATGATGTCAAGCACCTTCTTATGAGATATGTGAAGCTCAATATTTCTACGAAGCTTACTTCTTTCCGATCTTCCTTTCCACCTCTAGCAACTGCTTGATAGTATCCCCCATCGTATCCTTCAACGGTCGATACTCGAAACCCAACTCTCTCACAGCTTTGGATCCGTCAACAGCATAAGTCACAGATTTCCACGCTCCATTGTCCATCGAACCAGGCGACCCCGCCGGAATCCTATTTTTGTCAGGTTCTTCCAACGCCTCACGAGCAGCATCCGCAGCAGTCTGCCATTCAAAGTGCTTCGCAAGGAGATAGCGCTGCCCAGCGGCCTCAGGGATCTCAAACGCATTCAATAATGCCGTTGCGACATCCCTCACGTCGACAACCCCACAGAAATCCGGAGGAGGAACATCCTTGGCGTCCACGAGCGCCCAGGCTCTTGCAGCGGAGGCCTTGAGGCCCTTGAGGTCCGTGATGGGATAAAAGTCCGGACCGAAAATCATAGAAGGGTTCACAGAAACAAACGAGAAGTTTGGTTTGTTGTCTCCGCTCTCCATGAAGTCCCACATGCCTTTTTCAGCCAGGGCTTTGCTGGCACAATACACTGAAACAGGATCAGCTTCGGCAGCCTCGTCGTAAGTCATCGGGTTCCAGTCTTTTTCTGAATACGTGTAACCGGGTCGTAGCCCTTTCGAGACATCTAATAATGCTGCCATAGAAGAGGTATTCACGACACGCTGCACGGAGGGCCCAAACAGCTTGGCCGCCTCAATAATCGACCTTGCGCTGTTAATCGCGGGATCAAGCATGTCTCGTCTGTTATCTTCTGGACTGAGATGGACAGGCGAGGCAAGGTGGATAACACCCGTTACAGCACCATCTGCAAACGCGTCTTTGAAGAACTCTGGGCTGGTGATATCCTTGACAGGAGCAAAAGACAACCGTGAGCCGTAATTAGGGAAGGTAGCGAGAATCTTTTCCCTGGCCGACTCGGATCGAACACAAACTCGGACGTTATAGCCTTTGGTCAGGGCTTGGTGAATAACATGGCCCGCGACATACCCCGTAGCGCCAGTGACGAGAAGAGTGTGCTCTGAAGGAGCCATGGTCTGAAGTTTGCAAAGATTTTGACCCAAGAATCTCGTGCTAATTAGATCTTTGTGGAGAGCGGCTTTGTGATGATTTACTGTCTCACTTATAGAAGAGAAGAGTTATTTATACTTGGAGAATCTTCAGTGGTTCGGACTTATAACCTTATCTCCCCACGCGAGTTTATTAATCCTCTTCTGGGTTTCGGGTAGTTTGTCAGCCCTATGGTCAGAACGTTTGGCTAATGCAACTCTTTGGCAGTTCCTTTGCTCTCGAAGCGTCACCTGTTGTTTTCGGATTTTGTAATTGATAGATTTATCTCTTTGCAAGAAGTTGCTCACCAGACGTCTTCTGATTTTGGGGCATTTGACCAATTCTTAGAAACTTCGAATTCCTCTAACCTACTTCCTCCGCCACGGTCATCATTTGTACCGAAAGTTGGGGTTCCTTTGCATTTTGATTCAAATAATACAAGCTTCACTTTATCTCGAAACTATTTGCTATAATGCTTGTTCAATGTACCCGCTGAGCGAAGCTCGTTATACCGAAGACAACTTTCTATTACGCTCCAAGCTTGTGTTGTCATGACGAGGGTTTAGTTCTTTCCTGAGTTCGGCTTCATGCAAGTCTCCTACAAAGCGCAACCCAACAGTGAAGCTGAACAGATCTTGAGCGGTTTTAGAGATTTACATTTGCTTTCATTGTGAAACATGATAGATCCACCTTTAGGAGGTTATTGAGTCGTATACTTAAAAGGGGATACGAGGCGGTCTTCGCGGCAGTCCGCGAAGGCCGCTTTTTGGTAGAAGACAAAATATTCTGCTTCAATCTCTCTTAGCGATGAGGTTATTGAATCGTATACCAAAAAGGGAATACGAGTGTGGTTCCATTTTCTGTTGGCATTATCCATGGACGTAAGAACCCGCCAACTTCTAGGTATAGAATAGCTTTGATACAGACATGTATATCCGGAGGGAGCCGGATATACAACTAAGGAGTCGGGTATATAGACGACTGAGAAGACTATAAAGCCGAAGATCACATGTCCACTCAAGTTCAGCACTTGTTACTTTGAGCTACTTTGAGCAGATTATATATAGAAGCTGTTCCTTGGCGGAACGCTGAACCGAGAGCTCTCGGATAACTTGCCATGGCCCTGCATCTCAGACGACACCACGCGCGTGAGTGACGCACCGACACTAGAGTTTGTGTGAACAGTGGTCATCAGTCTCAACGCCATTGTTCACCGCTATTGCATCAGAAAGAAATCATTTTGCGCAGTCGTACCAATGTTGCTGTCCATCTGTGTCAACAGCTTTGAGGCCAATCTCGAACCCTTTCTCAGATCAAGAACCTTGCCCTCATCAGAGTTTCGGCAACAGGCAGAGTTATGTTGAAAAGAAGAACGCCTACAGATCCCAATCACCAATCAGGCCCAAATTGCATCAAATCGATCCCGCACCTTGACGCCGAGCCCTTGATATCCTTGATCCTCCGGCACCACTCCAACTCCCTGGCGAGTCCGCGGCGACGAAAGTACCTACGCAAGGTCCACTGCGTAGAGCACGTCGCTTGCGGCCCAAAGAGGCCATTATCGTTGCGGTAGCAGAACTCGATGCTCTGGCAGAGCATACGAGCCAGCCCATCTGCCTCTGCCAGTATTGAGATGTTGTCTGACGGTGGTGAAGATATGCTGCCGGTGGGGTTTGGGGTGGTAAACTCCAACGCTTCAAGGAGCAATGCCGCCTCGACAACGTGCAGCATAACTGTCGAGCAAAATATCCATTGAATTGCGTTTCCCATGGACGAAAACATCAGCGCAAACGGAAACAGTTTATCCACGTATTCCGCGTCGGCCGGGTTATTCATTCTGGACATGACGGTCCAGTACAAGGGATCAGGTGCTACTCTGCGTTGGCGAAGTTGTCTCCAAGTGTCGAGCTCTTGAAACTTTTGCACGAGGTGGGCGCTGTGCTGCGAGGCGGCCAAAGGGTTGTTGCCGCTTGAAAGGATTGCATGTGCTTCTTGCAGCATAGAGGGAACGTCGACGACTATATGCATCATTCGGACGAAGGAGTCGTCGGCACCGGAAGGACCGATTAAAAGTCGCCACCTGTCAGGTTCAAGACCGAGAGAACGCCTTTGACCTAAGCCTTGAATGACCTGGTGAGGGCGAATCAGGGGTCAGCGAGAGAGTCTACATGATTGCGATGTTGGTGATATGGCGTTACACATACGCATATTATACACAATCGCACGCATAAGCTTCTCCAATTCGCCGTGGCCTGCTCCGGCACGCCGCGGTTGCGAAGGAGTTCGGATATGCCCTGTGCATGGGCACTCCAGCTTGAGTCCGTGGGGAAAACAAACAGCTGTATGCATCAGCCACATCGTCTACTTTTTCTCAAAGAATTGGAGGATTCTATAAACATACCTCACATGTCGACAAGGCCACGATGGCAGCCAGCATCTCGTCACTGCTCCTCGGCTGCCGAGAGTCCAAGTCTTCAATGAGCTTGTTAAGCGCGTGGTTGTAAACCTGGCCCGTCTCGTCCTGAGACAAGCACGAGTCACCGGACAAGCGGACCTGGACGGCACAAAAGGCGAGAAGAGAGTGGTCGAGGGCGCTACTTGGGGCCTTCATCTGGCACACGGCCCTGATCCAGGACGAGGGCGTCGGGTCGCCATTTTCGTCGCACGCCGCGATGCGTGGTTGAGGGAGGTAGATGCCTTGAAGAATGCGCAAAGCCTGAGATCTAAAGTGTGAAGTGTCGTAGCTTGGCTGGGAGAGTTGGTCACGGAGCTGATGGACAAGTCGAACCCATTCTGACGATGGAGAGTGTTGCTGGCGCTGGTGTAGTTGTGCATCAGTTATGACAGAGACGGCAGTGACATTTGGATGATCCGGGGTGCTGTTGACCCAGAGCATCGCCTGCTCATATCCCTTGCATGCAATTCCGGCCTTGATGCATCTTATGCACGATGGCAATGTCAAGTCGCACTACGAGACAAGTTATTAGATTCAGGGACAAGACGGCACAGGACGGGGCGAGAACAGGGACAGGGGAGCGCTCGGCAGAGTAGGATATGCGAGCCATACCTTGACACGACGCCTCTTGCAGTCCCTACAAGCCTTTGATTTTCCCGGGATCCCGACCATGGTTTGGGCCTTGGTTCGTAATGTTTTGCCGCATCATGTCAAGGCAATGACAATGGCGATGGCGATGGGCCGAGATGGAAGAGATTTGATGTAAGTGAAGTGAGCTGAGTGGAGATGAACCAAACACCAGCGCTTAGAAAGCTGGAGAACGCGGAAACTTTGATGACACGCGCTATACTCAACAAGGAACCAAGCAGCGAGCAGATTCGACAGGGATGTGAATGTTTATATCCGATGAGTTCGTAATAAAACGCGGGCCCTCCCGGGAGGAGAAAAACGATGGAGTCGCCAGACCTTTGATGCGTCATTGGCTGTATGTCAGGCGGTGTACAGTTAAACCAGATTCGGAACCATCGCTCGAGATGCGCGACAGGGAACTGCTCTTTGAATCTGTAGTTTGCAAGACCTGAGATGTGGGCGTGAGAAGGTGATGAATAGATATATAGAGGACGCGACGTCCTGGATCTCCGATGCGAAAGGACAAAGACAGCCGTGTCACTCTCGAGAAGTTCCCCTTCTCCTCGCGTCTCCGTCTCAAAGACTGCCGCAGCAATGGCGTCTCCAATTCCCGGGGCATCCTCAGCCTCCTCGACCGATGTCGAAAAGCAATTCCAAGAACAATACCTTCAGCAACAAGGCGCTTCCACAGACGTCGAAAAGGCGTCGTCGCAGCAACAGCAGCCAAAAGCCGCCACTGAGCCAGACTTTGGCCCTCCACCCGATGGCGGCCTGGAAGCGTGGATGGTTGTGTTAGGAGGGTTCTGCACCGTGTTTGCGAGTTTCGGATGGATCAATTGTATGAAAGAAGTCGTCTAGCCTGTCAACATGATGCAAGCTTTCTAACTGTGTTCAACGTTAGGTATCGGCATCTTTCAAGACTACTACCAATCGCATCAACTCAGAGCGTACTCGCCCAGCACCGTGGCATGGATCCCGTCTGTGGAGTCCTTTATGCTCTTCTTCGGGGTATGCCTGATCCTCTTCTACTGTCGTATCGAACTTACCTGCATGTACAGATGCTAACGTGACAATAGGGTCCCCTTGTTGGCTACATGACCGACCAGCTCGGCCCTCGGATCCCCGTCCTAATAGGCACCTTTCTCCATGTTTTCGGCCTCATGATGACCTCAATCTCCAAAGAGTACTATCAGATTCTCCTCTCCCAGAGCATCTGCAGTGCCCTAGGCTGCTCGTTTCTCTTCTATGCCCGTAAGCATTCCCACTCGACCCCATCCCATTTGCCTCTCCCATACACATCACATCTAACAAACAACCGTTGTCAGCAATCGCCGCCCTCGGCACCTGGTTCCGCGTCCACCGAGCCCTCGCCTTCGGCATCGTCACCGCCGGATCTAGCATCGGCGGCGTCGTCCTGCCCATCATGGTCGACCGTCTCGTCGTGCGTATCGGCTTCGGCTGGGCCATGCGGTCTACAGCGTTTCTGTTCCTCGGACTGCTCATCATTGGCAACCTCACAGTCAAGTCGAGGCTGCCTCCGTCGAGGAGGAAGTTTGACGCGAAGGAATTTGTGACGCCTTTTGCCGAGCGGCCTTTTGCTCTTCTCACTGCCGCTGGCTTTATGATTTATCTGGGTGCTTTCTTGCCGTTTACCTTTATCATTGTGGAGGCCAAGGCCGAAGGCATGTCGACGAGGTTGGCCGACTATTTGGTCCCCATTATAAATGCAGCATCGTGAGTATCTCCCACAGCATCTCCGGCCATGTTTCGTGATGCTAAAAGTTGAGTTGTAGCACATTTGGCCGTATCCTCCCCGCTCACATGGGCGACCGCTACGGCGTCTTCAATGTCATGATTCTCCTCACCCTCTTCGGCGGCATCATCACTCTCGCCCTTTGGCTCCCCGCGAGCTCCAATGCGCCGCTCATCGTCTACGGCGCCTTGTACGGCTTTGCTTCGGGGTGCTTCTTGTCTATTATTCCCGCCATGGTAGCATCCATGTCGGACGTGCGCAAGTTGGGCACACGCACCGGTTCGCTCTACGCGGTGACTTCTGTGGGCGTATTGATCGGGAGCCCCATTGCCGGCGCCATTGTCAATGATCAGAATGGGCATTTCTCTGGCTTGATTGTGTTCTGTGGAGTTTCGCTTCTATTAGGAACGGCCTTGGCGATTATGTCGAGACACGCCTTGGTGGGTTTCCAGTTGGGGAAGAAAGTGTAGTTTCTTAGTATTTCCTATGATATATGATGTACGGCCAAAGGCGACATAGATTGATTAGATAACGATTGTAATAGACATCTTTTTGGGTCAAGCTATGGCTTGATATCCCTGTCGTACGATACTGCTGAGGTCCCGTCAACAAGTTACTGTATCACAATGATATTGATCCTAACATGCCTAGGTAAGTAAAGAAGAGAGGAGCCTCTTTTGCCCTTCTGTTAGTTGTTGCCAACCCGTCCAAAAGAAAAACGAGATATGTGTTATACTTGGTTCTCTAAATACTTGTCATCTCGAGCTTCATGATGAATATCCTAAACAGGTAATAGCCGGCCACCCATCCATCCCACGGAGGTTAAACTAAGTTGGTGGCCTGCTTGGCTTCCTGGGTGGGAGATTCCCCCATGATTTGTCGCATAAGAAATAGTGTGCCCACCTTTCCTAATGCCTTACACAAGGCTACATGTACGCTTCCCACCAATCGCCAATCAACATGGATAAGAACCTGGGCCGACAAGGCGGCCCAACGACGCGGGGCCATGACTTGGGCGCTTATTCTCAAACTGCTTAGAATATCAGCTTCCCCTTACAAGTTATTAATATTTATCTCACCTTAATGTTAAGATCATCTCCTGTCTAACTTGATGCTACCTCTGGACATCATGAGTGCGAACCAGTCACGTCGGAGGAGAGATCTGGGCCTAAGTCTCGAGGGCAGCACGAAACCCAAGATAGACAACACATTGCCTTATGGAGGGAGAGCGCTCAACAAGAACAGTTTGCGATTAGTTGAGATACAACCAGCAGCGCACGAGGGCGACCCTTTGGTTTGCACGCTGACTGAAGTCGCCTTCGGCAGCAGGCCCAAGTTCGAGGCACTGTCATACAGATGGGGTACAGGCAAGATGACCTATGCCATCACCCTGAACGGCTACTCATTTCAAGTCGGGGAAAATCTCCTAGATGCCCTCATCTTCCTCCGGAGTCAGTCCATGTCCAAGAAGGCGTGCCAGCTGTTCTGGATCGACGCCATCTGCATCAACCAGGGCGATCTAGAGGAGCGGAGCAAGCAAGTCAGGATTATGGACCATATCTACTCGCGGGCTAGCACCGTGGTAGTCTGGTTGGGTTACAAGTACACAGTGTTTCAAAGAGAAATGATAAGTGAGCTAAAGCTGGATGAGAGCGAGAAGCCCGGGGGAGGTTCTCCTGAAACCGGCGACAGCAATCAGTGGAAGATGGTTAGACATTTGCGAACTGACCCCTACTGGGATCGCCTCTGGATACTGCAAGAGATTGGGCGCGCGAGGCAGCTTCGGGTCTGCTTTGGAAATAAGACTTTCTCGTGGGATCATTTTATGCACCTCATCACGATGCACAATAGTGATGGGGCCACCGGGCCCCTAAGGCTGAACAGATTACTCCGCGAAGAGAAATATAACGACTCGCATACTCTCAAGAGGCTACTCGAGGAGCACAGAGAGGCAAAATGCTCGGAACCAAGAGACAAAGTCTATGGGCTCATTGGACTTGCCTCAGATGCCGGGGAGTTTCAGATAGACTACAGAAAGTCTCTCTACGAGGTGTGGAAGGATACGATGGAGTTCATGAATAAATGGAATCTTTTCAAAGATGAATCCCAGATTCTCCCAATCGGAACCCTGGTGAAGAGCCTCCTCATGGCAAGTCACAGCGATCCCCTTGGTCAGCTCGCGAAAGAGCACGAAGACCAATTAGACTCGACTCAACTTATCAACAATCCGCAAAGCCCCCTTGTTTTCCACCTTAAGGCAGTTTCAGTTGGTTGTATCGTCTGCGTTGGGCCTTCAGCCAGTGACATCGTCTCCAGACCTGACGAGGCAACTCGGTGGCGTATTGCCACACAGCGTCTATTTCCGGCGGGCGAACTGGGACCAGCTCATCAGGAGTACGATAAATTGCTCCACGCCCTACTAGAATCAGACGATTCAGAGATTGAGAAGACGTGCTTCAACAGGCCAAGTCCCGTCATCTGGGAGCAGGAAAACTGTTCGTACCGATATGACGAAACGCCGAAAACCATACAACGCTATGTCAGGCTGGTTCATGAAGCAACAGAGACCACTGCCCTCCAACAATGGCAGCAGAGGCCACAAGAAGTTGCAGATCAATTAGCACCGGTCCAGCCGCAGCTATACTTGGCTAAAGATTATCGTCGTACCCTACGGAGGATGGGTCTTGCCTCATGTCTCGTCCAACTGAATGATGTCGTCTTACGGGTTCCCTCGTCAAGGAGAGCCCTCTTGGTCAGGGTTAAAGAGGGCAGAGAGAAGTCTACGGTGAGAGTGTTTGGCACGGCACTGACCACGGAAGATATGTGTAGCTCGACACTAGACAACAACTACGTGGGATGGACAACAGAGGTGCAGATAGATGCGGGCACAATATTCATGCTGTTAGAATGAACTGGACGCCCGGTATTTTATACGCGTCCAAATGGGCCGGGCAATGGTGTTGTAGGCATGACTTGGATAAGCGTCGTGAAGCACACGAATCATGAAACGGGAAGCGTTACTTTGAGACCAAGAATGTACTTCAGAATGCTGTCAACATGCTCCAGCTGATTGATATAGGGTGTTTGTTCACTGTATGCCAAGTTGCCAACCTAACAAGCTTACTTTCTCTTCGGGCAATACTCATCGCTCGATGCCGGTGGAGATACCGGACTCCGCCTCGGCCTTTTATCCCCGAATCTCCCACCAGACGGAACTCGCACCAAACAAAGAACCATTCAACAGCTACACTCATCGTCACAAACCTCCCTGAATCAGCCAAGCGCATCTACACATATACCCCATGAAAAGGCCGAATCCTCCAGAGGCTAAGCCTCAGTCGCATACACTTGATTCCGCGGAAAGACGCCGCCTGCAGAATCGTCAGGCTCAGCACAAATACCGTAAGCCTCCATCCTCCATCATTACATCATCCCCCTAGCTATAGAACTGCATTGTAGAGACTTACCCTTTGCCAAAGGCCTTCGAGAAGCAGCCAAAGCGAAGCAGGACCAAAGCATCACCAAAGCAGCCTCTGTCCGGCGTGGCAGGTTCCTATTAATAAAGCCAACTAAAGAGTCTTTTCCTGTAACCAAAGAGCGCCCAATACCACCTCTTCCGTGCGGTGCGTATTTCGTATTTGCGCGGAACCTCCTCCTCTCCGCCGACCATCGGCTTCTCACTCTTGTCCACAATAACATCATACGTGGATTAACCGCAAATGCCAGCTTCCTCAACTATCCGTGGAGTACTATTTGCCAGGATGACGCTCTATCCAACTTCTCTCCACCTACGCCTAACCTGGATCTGTCAATAACACAATCACATCTACCAGTCACCCTTCATCCCACGTCATTACAATATGAAGAGACACACCACCCATGGTTGGATCTTATCCCTTTCCCACAGTTCCGTGACAACCTCATCCGAAGACTAGCAACTGCTTCACAAGAATGGGATTTCGAGACAGAGCTCTGCGAGGATGTTACCGGTGTCGGGCGGCTACAGTTAAGCTGCAGCAGGCCCGGCTTCATGATATGGGGTGAAAACTCGTGGGACACACACAACTGGGAAGTCACAGAGGAATTTGCTCAGAAATGGCATGATCTAATGGACGGATGCTGCGATCTCATCGCATCTACAAACGAATGGCGCAAAAAGCGTGGAGAAGCGCCGCTTAGTCTCAAATATTCTACAACTACCGCTTCGACCAACTTTTCTCTACTACCTGAGTAGTCCGCTACAATATATCGGGAACGTTCAACAATTCACACGTCTCCTTCCAAAGATTCTCCTCCGCCACCTCATCAAACGCAAAAGCCGCATATCCACCATCCATCAACCCAAAATCAGCCGTCGCCTCCTTTCCATACGAGCAATTCTCCAAGTACACGCCGCCCTTATCTTCCAAACACGACGCAATGGCCGCAAAAACAGTCGTAGCCGCGCCTTGCTCTGTAGATTTGAGCTCCTCCATATATCCAGGCGGCACATCAGATTTATCCGTCTGCTGAGCTGCGTATCCTGCATACAAGGGAGTATGAACAGTCCCCGGGTGAAGCGAGACAGCCCTGATTCCGCGAGTAGAAAAGTGTCGGTCGATGAAGTTGGCGTTGTAGATGACGGCGAGTTTGGACGTTGCGTAAGCGGACATGGGCTCGTATGGTGTCTTTTTGAAGTTTGGGTCGTCTAGATGGACTGGGAATATTCTGTGTCCGGTGGTGCTCAGGTTGACGACGCGGGAACGGCGGGCTTTGGTGCTACTGGCCTCGAGGCGTGGGAGCAAGAGATATGTGAGAAGAAATGGTGCGACGTAGTTTATGGTCCAGGTCCGTAGTAACCCTTCTTCTGTGTGTTCAAAAGGCTCAAACGCAACACCTATTTGGAGACAATAATGTCAGAAATCATCACTATAGTAATCTAATTGGAGTCAGACAGTCCATACGCACCCGCGTTGTTGATCAAGACATTAATGTGCTCTGTCTTGCCAAGAATCTCCTCTGCCTCTTTTCTCACAGAAGCAAGAGAGGCCATATCCATAGCCACAACCTCGATATTTTGAAACTTTCTCCCCTCAACTGGCGAGACGCTCGACACAATCTTCTCAATGACGCTCTTTGCCTTGTCAGCATCGCGCGCCGTGATGAACAGCTTGGCGCCGGTGGAATAGAGAGCTCGAGCAGCCTCGCACCCAATACCAGAAGTTGCGCCGGTAATCACAATAGTCAACTCTGATAAACCATCTTTACCAATGTTGCCATATTGGAACTCGTCTGCGACAATCTGGAGGGCAGTCGGACGAGCATCTCCAGGGCCGTTGCGAGAGGCATGAGCAGCAGCGTAGCGGTCCATTGTGCAATCAAATCCAAGTAAAGCTTCTACTTGCAATTTGAAAACTCCGAAGGTGAAGCTTAATTAAATCTCGCACAGCAGAAATGTGCGCAAAGAAATACTTTTTCCTTCATCGCAGTGACGTTCTCACAAAACTTGCTTATTACCTAAAAAGGAAATAACACAAAACCATCACCAAAACCACCAAACGCCACCATAAACCGGGATCCTGTACTACAGACATGTAAAGCTGCTCCATGCAGTAACAACACCATCAGCAAAAAATCAACAGCTTACCGGAAAATAATCCACTTTCAACTCACTCCCAAAAAAAAAATCCGCACCTTCTTAGATCGGGGTGGTTAACAAACGAACGGGATGTGCCACCAAGATTTCCGCCTCGATGACATTCCTAAACGAGCCAAGTTCGTCTTTGCAGCGTCAGAACTCTATGGGCGTTTTTCGAGAGACGCGTCGATCGATCGGGTAGTTTGATATAAGAGGATTTTAAGCATCGCGGTTTGAGTTTTGCTACTTTATTTCACATTCGAACATTGGTATTGGGATCATTGGAACGATATCACGGCAATGGAAGACTCTTGTGGTTTGTTTTCTCCAAAATGGACTTTTGCACGAACGGCAAAGTCGTATTATATTTGTTTCGTCGTAGTTATTTATAATCGCTTCAATTCAATAATCTCATCTCCATCAATCCATTACACCGACCTTCCTCTCGATGCTCACATCCAATCCATCAATCTAAACCACACAAAAATCCCATCAGCATAAGCCTCCCAAAAAAAAAAACACCTTCATCTCAAGCAGCAACAGCAAAAACTCACCTCTTAAAGAGACTGGCAGAATCCCGTAGCAGCCTTGGTCTTAGCATCCGTAAGAACACAAGTCGTGCCAAAGGGGCAGCCGAGGAGACCCTCCTTAGCTGAGCCGCAGACTCGCTTTCCATCAACAATGGGCGCCGGAGTGGCAGCGACAAGGCCAGCAAGGGCAACGATAGCAAAAGCGAACTTCATTTTTGCGGTGTAGATATTCGTCGATAGACTAACTTATTAAGATTATTGTAGGTGACCTTGCGGTAAGGACTGTAGTTGATCTTTTTGGAAGAATGAATTTGCTTAAAGAGCGACTGGAGATGAGAGAAACAAGAGAACCTCTTTTCCTCCTTTTTGACGAAATCCGGGGGGGATCAGCGTATTTATTCACCATCAAGCATCAAGCATAACCTAAACAATCCCTACTAATGCTCCGTATGTAATCCATAATGCCACCGCTCATTGCCTCGTAAAGGAGAAAACTCCATACTCCATAGTCAGATACAAAAGCCCGCAAAAGCTACGGACAGCACGGCCTTCGCCTCGTATTCCTTTGATGAACAACGCCCCCCGTATTGCCCATCAGATCGCCAGCTCGTATGGGACGGCGGTCATGGGCTGAGGGGGTCCCTGGCCGGTAATTTCGGCTGCTAATTTGCACCCCTGGTTTTTTGCTGGCGTTGATGCGGCCCCGCCGTGGTGACCGGGTTACCCCTGAATAGCCTCAGTTCCGCAGGGTCCTGCACAACACCATCTTTCGTCTCACAAGTGGTTCGTTGTTTGACATAAGTGCGTATTCACCATAGGCCAATAGTGCGAGTATCCGACTGGAAGAAGCACAGAACGAAACAATCGACAGACAAAACAATGCTCGAGATGTTCATTCATATGGCGCAATTCTCTTGCCACTCGTCCCCATCGTCCAATCCTGAAACAGTCCAGCAAATAAAGTTACATTTGATCAGAGCACTCACCGGGGACGCTTGTGGGGATGGACTCCCGCATTCCGCAATGATCATCCGAGCCTATCCGCCGTTCGTGATGCATTTGCTATTCAAAGATTCACATCTTGACACATCTAATACTACGCTTGGTTGGCCCTTTTACAACTTGGGCTAAAGCTATCTTTTACCCGGCTCGTATTCCCCCAAGCTGGGCCATCGCTCTCTTGCTTGTTTCGACATGTCGTCTATCCTTTTTCGTACGAGTGAAATTACTCGAATGCCAAATCCAGCCAATCATATATACACCAACTTTTTCCCATTGCAGCCATCACAATCATCATATGCAATGCCATGCCATGCCAGTTCATGCAAACAAAATGCACGTCTTCAAGTAACCCATGCGCCAGATAATGAGACCATCACATACTCAGAGCCGCCGTATTCCAACACCATGCCATCCATCTTCATTAACCGTGTCGTGTGAACCCACTTCTGTCGTCTAGCTGAGGAGCTCCTTGATGTCTTCAATCCGCTGGAGCTTCTTCTCCTCGTCGTTCATCATGCCCAAGGACGTCGCGCTGCGGGAGCAGTTAGCCTTGCGAATCTTCAAAGAAGAAAAGACGATCCACTTACATAAACTTCTTTCTCTCCTGGATCTTCAGCATCCTCTCCTCCACACTGCCCCTCACAATGAATCTCTTGACCACCACCTCATCTTGCTGCCCTAGTCTGTGCACCCGATCAATCGCCTGCAACTCCACGGCATAACTCCACCAGGGATCCATCATGAAGACGCGCCCCGCGCTCGTGAGATTCAGGCCGACACCGCCCGCGCGCAGACTCATCAACATTACCACGAAGCCTTTGCTCTCTGTAAACTGTTGCAGCACGGCTGCTCGAGCCCGCTGTGTCATGCTTCCATCAAGACGAAGAAACTTGACGTTGGCGCGTGTGAGAGCGGCTTCGATGAGCGTGAGGAAAGAAGTAAACTGGGAAAAGACAATGGACTTCATATATGGACGGTCTCGACGTAGTGTTCGAAGCTCCGATATCAATGCGGCAACCTTGGCGGAAGAGGAGTTGATGCCAAGTCGCTGCAGACTAAAGCGAGGCTTTGCTGAAGCAAACGGTTCGTCTGTTTCATCATGACGCACAACCTCGAATAAATCGCGCTGGTTAATCGGCGTGCGGCAGTTGAAGCACTTTGGCACTCTGCCGTGGTCAGTCTCGTGCTTGACAAAGTCCATCAGGCACTTTTTGCACGCAGAATGCCAACAGCCGGTGACAATCTGCTCATTCATCGGCTCATCAAAGCATAGCGGGCATTCCTTTTCAGATTCGTTACGGATCTCGTCCAGCGCGTGCGCTCCGTACGTCTGTCTGTCGTTGGTGACTTCGTCTGTGATGGCGGTAAATTGCGTGATCAGAGACTCTAGATCCATATCATCGCCCAAGCCGGTGGCCGCATCAGCTGCGGCGCCAGCCTCTTCCTCGTCGGCAACAATGTCTTTATTGCGGACGAGTACGGGATGACAGCACGATTGTCGAAGACGCATAATCTGAGCAAAGATTGTCGTGAACGCCTTGAGCACCGTGCCCGCCTCGACGTTCTGTGCAAACGTATTCTTCACCTTGTTGAAGATGTGGTCGTAGATATCTCGCTCCGTCTTGGATAGTTCTACCTCAACTATGTCAATCTGTTTTGGTGGAAGCTGCACCAGGGGCTGACCGTCTGGCGTTTTCATGTCCTTGGTTCTTCTGGTGACCAATGGCTCCAAAACCGTCTGAACCACGTCCAATGCGCGCACAAAGTCCCCTGACTCAAAGGGTACTGTGATGAATGTCTTCCAGAAGGAAAAGTTGTTCCAGGGCTCAACACCCAGGAAGCGCACCAAGCTGAAGAGGTCTTCCAGTCTGTTGACAATCGGGGTGCCCGTCAGAGCCCATCGGTGGTCGGCTGCAATCTCGTAACATGCGCGAGCAGTCTTGGACGCCCTGTTTTTGATGTAATGTGCCTCGTCGAGAATCACGCGGAAGAACTTGAGGGAGAAAATGCCCGTATGGAAGGACCTGTCGCCGTTCTTTGCGGCGACGCTGGTGAATTCCGACAAAACAACACCGTAACTGGTGATGACGAGGTCTGGAGCGTTGGAGCCGCTGCAGAGCGACTGCAGATTCAGTGCCTTTTCTGCACCGTAATAGAGCTGAATCTTCATGGTGCCCGGTAGGGAGGCCTTTTCGGCCTCACTCTGCCACTGTGACAACAGAGACATGGGGGCAACCACCAAGGTAGTACGACGTGCCTCCAACACGTTTGACGAATTCTTGCCCAATCGCTGGAGCTGGCTCAATCCGTGTTGGGGTGATGACCGCGCTTGTTGTGAATCCTCTGATCGGTGCGAGTGCATAAGACTGAGCATCTGAATCGTCTTCCCCAGACCCATTTCATCAGCAAGAATACCGCCGAGACAGTGTTGCTCCTGGACCGGGAAATCCAACGTCAGATCGCCAGAGTATGGGTTGACATAGAACTGGGCCTGCCCTTCTACCGTAGGGAGATCCTTATCATCAACGTCTTTGACGGGCCATAGATATTCCTCCCAAAGTGGATGCATCGAGGGCTCCCTATGGCTCTGTTCGTCTTTTTCTTTGGCTATCATCCAATGCAAAGATTGCCTTTGGTACGGGCGTAGTGTCATGGCAAAGGTGCTCGCTGGGTCGACTTCGGGCATGCTAAAGTCAAATGTCTGGGCCTTTTTATACAGGGCATCGAGTTGATCTTGTTCGAGCTCTTCTCCTTCTTCAGCTTCCTCAGACGGTGATGAATTCCCAGATTCTTTATTGCCATTTGTAGCCGCCTTTTTCGAGTCCTTTTGCTTCTGCTCGTCCATCTCGGCGGCTTGGAGGAGCCCCTTTCTCCCATCCTTTGCTGCAGCATTGGCGACGACCGGCTGGAGATTGATCTCCTGGAATAGTCTGACTAGAGCAACTTGTCGAAGTCGGAGTTCTTTCTCTTGTGCCGTTTCAATCTGCTGTTCGAACCATGTAGCCGAGGAGTCGTTAGCGGGCCTGAAGCTGCGGTCGAAAAACGCAGAGTCGAGCAAGGAGCATCTCAGTTGGATGAAAATGGTGTCGTTTGTTCGCGTCCGCTCAGGGCAATACACACAAGTTCCTTGAAACTTGCAAATCTTTTGGTCCATCAGCGTTGACACCCAGTTGGCGGTATCTTTGGCCAGGCGCCCAATCTCATGGCCGCTCTGGTTCGTAAACCGCACGATGACGTCGACTCGTCTCGAGGCAGCCGTGTTCACTTTGACAGGGGTGGGAGGAGCACCAAGCCGGGGCTTCGTCTTTGGAGGTGGAGGGGGCTGTATCTTTTGTCGTTCAATTTTGACCATCTCGCCATGTTTCAGGAGATTTGTGCCGCTGCGGGTAGCCCATCCCTCGACGCCAAAAGCGCCAATGTATCGTGAGGCCGGCACGTTTCGTCGGATGGGAAGCGGGGAGGGCTGGCTCTGCACATCGGATGACTGTGTTCGGCTTGGGCCAGAGGCAGCGGGTTTCGACTTCAGGAGCTTCTTGTAGGTGCCGTCAAAGTACATGTTGACGGCTCGCTCGAGATTGTTCCCGCAATGCTGCCGGATAGTACGCAGGATGTTGGCGGCCACTTTGCATCCGACAAAGCTTTCAAACGTCTCTTTGTCAAAGGTGACTGCTGAAGATTCATGCTGGGCTACGGGCTCGTTCGTCGGTGGTTGGTGTGGTTGTTCCAAGGCTGTTGATGAGCCAGATACAGATGCTGATCCATTTCGAGGAAGTTCGGGCAAAACATCTCGGCTCTTCTCTTCAGCCTTGACGTTGACGCTTCTTTTTTCGCTCTCCGGCTCCCAGTCGTCATCTGCCTCTGCTTTCCCCGGTATCTCTTCATCCTCGTCCTCCGCCTTGAAGAACTGCCTCGGCTCCAGCGACGAGCCGAACTCGTGCTTGGGGCTAAACACCGGATCCGAATCGGGCTCGTCCGGGTCCCTGAAGAATCTGCGCCTCTTGACCGGCGGCTCTTGCGAGGATCCCAGCTCCATCAATGCTGTAGTAGCCGTTGAACCGTGAGCGTTGCAGCCAGTGCAAACCAGCCGCTAATCCGCTGGGAGACGCGTCGGGCCTGCAGCCAATGTCGCGACCGTGTAGAGAGGTCACATGACCGCGTCATGCCCATTCAACTCACTGCCCCATTTGTCCGTCGGAGTAATAGCTTAGCCAATCACGAGCTGGCCATATCTGGGCTCTCACGAATTGGCAGCTCTTTTCGTCGCACAATGCAATGCGACTCTCGCCGAGCCATCACCACGATACGATGGTGGCAGCTGAGTGAACAAGTTCCGGCCCGTTCCGCCGCATGCATCGTCCCAGCGTCCTCAGTCGAGGCAATGGCCTGAAAAGGCTCGTCATTGCTCCGCGGAGCCGTCGCAGCTACGTGACCGACGCCGACGTCGAATCGGCTCGGCGGTACTGCTTGAAGCAGCTTCAGTACGTCGATTGCTGACCCGACTCATTGTTCTTTTGTTTTCTTCTTCTAATCTTTTTTCTTCTTTCGTCTGCAGGACAAGCGATTACGATGCTCACCTCATCCGCCGCTTCATGCCTCCTCCCGTCCAGGACACATACGCCGCCCTCCGCGCACTCAACCTCGAGCTCGTCCGGCTGCCCGAGATGGTGTCCAATCCCACCATTGGCGTCATGCGCATGAAATTCTGGCACGAATCTATCGACAAGACGTTCGCCGGGCAGCCTCCGCGCGAGCCAATCTGCATCTTGCTCCACCAGGCGCTGCAGCAGCTCGAGCAGCGGGCTGGCGGCTCGTCGACGACAAAGTCGATCAAATTCTGGGTCTCGCGCCTTATCCGGACGCGGGAGAGGCACATGGACAATCGGCCCTTCGCAACCCTGGCCAGCCTGGAAGACTATGCCGAGCACACGTACTCCACGATGCTGTATGCGACTTTGGCATCCATGCCGTTGCGGTCAATGCACGTGGATCACCTGGCCAGCCATATCGGCAAGGCGTGTGGCATCGTCGCTGTGCTTCGGGGAGTGCCCGTCCTCGCCAGCCCCGCGCAGCCCGTCCAGACGCCCTCCGGCCTCGAAACCCCGAGTCGCAACCAGGCCCTGCTGCTGCCCCTCGACGTCTTGGCCGAGGAGGGTGTCGTCGAGGAGCACGTCTTCCGGCAGGGCCCCAACGCGCCCGGGCTACAGGATGCCGTCTTCAGGGTGGCCACGCGCGCCAATGACCATCTCATCACAGCGCGGGAGATGCTCAAGAGGTTAAAAGCGGGGCAGGATCCCGGCCACGACTTTGAGCATCAGGGCGAGGGCGAGCACCAGTATCAGTATGAGCATGAGCATGAGCATGAGCATGAGCATGAGCATGACGACGGGAGCAGCGACACTGTCCGCGATGTGCGGCGAGGCTTTGGCGTGCTCCTCGAGGCCGTCCCCGCGGCTCAATGGCTGCTCAACCTGGAAAAGGCCAACTTTGATCCGTTTGCCGTCAAGAGCAGCGGATGGAGGCTGCCGTGGGGCATCTGGCAAGCTCTGTCCAAGGAGAGGATATAGACGAATGAATGAATGATATTGTAAAACAACAACAACAATTTTTAATAGCCATGTAATATTATGAAGTCCTCCATCAGATAAATCCTTCAATGCATATACCTTTATTCAACTCAACTCATCCTCACAAACCCTCTCCAACTATAGTACCTGCTCATCCCACTAAGACCGAAGCTCCAGAAGCGCCGGACTATCTTCTGAAAGCCGTCACACCCTTCACCACGGCAAAACCTCGGCATGGCAAGCAGCTCGGAATTTCAACCAAATCCATCCCGCAAAGCAAAGTCGCATATCCCTCCCCAAATCCTTCCTCCAGAAACTCCCCCCCCCCGTAGACTGTCGCAAAGATGCTCTACGAACTCGTTGCCATTGTGAGCAAATCGCCCCCCGGAACAATCAATTCGAATCTCGCTAACTCTGTGTTTCCTTCTCCAGGTCCGGCCGGGCAGCCTCACCGAGGTAAAAGAGTACGTCCCACCATCCCTCATCACCAAAAACCTTCAACCTCCTCCCAAAACCCTCTTCTCCCTCGTCAAACCTCCTAACGAAAGAATCGCCCCCCTCCAGAATCGCCCAAACCGTCGGCTCCCTCGTCCTCAAAAACGGCGGCGTCATCCGCGGCCTCTCCAACTGGGGCGTCTTCTCCCTCCCCAAGCCAATCTCCATCCACCAGATGAAGCACACCCACGGCCACTACTTCGTCATGCGCTACGACTCCTCCCCCCGAGTCCACCACGACGTCCGCTCAACTCTACGCCTCGAGCCGCGCATGATCCGCGCCGCCCACGTCAAGCTCGGCGACGGCAAGCTCGAGACGGTATCGAGGTTCGGCCCGCCTAAATGGAGGACCCAGGGCAGCGAGGCGTAGAATTGATGGTTTTTTTTTTGTTTAACACTCTTGGTGTTGTTTCTTTTACGGCGTGGAAATCAAAATGATGAAGACAAAGCTACAATTTGGGAGGAGTACATAACGCTAGAGGAGGGGATTTCCCATATGCACTTTGCCTCGTGTAAGATTATGATGATATACAAAAGAGAGGCGGCGCCAACCAGGGGGGCAAAGGAACCCCATCATGCTTGGCGATATTGTGCGATTTTAGGGAAAGGGAGACTTGAGCATCCGGAACGATCCTGTGCAAAAACCCTTGGGGTGCTTACGGAGAAATGATAAATGTCACATGTCAGAAGATCGATCTAGACGGTCCTTTATCTTCATATGAATAGCCATGTGGATGGTACAATGGAAGAATGACCACTGTCAATTCATCTTTGGGTCAGTCCGTGCTTCGTATAGTTGTCGCTATAAGTCTATGCCATCTCAAAATCGGAAGCTAGCCGGTCGAGGTATCCTCTCACTTTCGCCTAGCAAGTCTTCTAAGCCAGCCCCCCTTTCCCTCGCGGGTGTCTGCATAATAAAAAAATGATGAGATCCATCCCCGCCAAGCCAATAGTGTGCCCGATACGCAGTATCCCAGGGCCGTTGTTGTGTATGTGTGGTCGTCTCGATGAAGGGCTTCACTGACCATCGACTTCCATAGTTTCGGGCTTTCCGATTCCCTTCTGCTTGCACCACTCGACAAAGTCGTCAATGACGCTTGGCCATGCGCCGTCTTCGCTCCAGAACGACAAGGACTCGTCGCTGATGCTCTTGAGAGCAAACTCCAGAATCATATTCCACATGTCCCTGTTGACAGATCGAGTCCACTTCTCGCCCAAGAATGTCTTCCACAGGTCCAACCAGTCGTGCTTGCCCTTCCATACCACACCAGGCGCCGAGAAGAGCATGCTCCAGTAGATCAGGGCGTTGTCCAAAGCCAGGGCTTTCTGGTCCTTTTCACGACCAGCAACAAAGGCGTATTTGTAAACCTTCTTGAACAATGCCATATCACGAGACAGGTCAGATATGAGTTTCCGTACATGAGCGGCGTGCTCTGCATGCGATGTCCCAGCCCTACCAACAGTAAGTACGTCTCTGCTTTGGAGTTGATGATTGGATGAAACAAGATTCCGCCCAAAGACCTACCCGCTTGATTTCCAGCCGTCGATGAATCCTGCTCTGGTGATTTCACCTACGCTAGGGGCCTGCACCAGTTCCAGGACTACAAACAGTTCGGCGTTTTCTAGGCTGACGTTGAGCTTTTCACTCAGATAGCCCATGGTCGACTCCAGCTCCAGCTGGTCTTTGTCATCGGCGCTGTCATCTAACCAAGGGTGGTAAGCATACAACGGGTACAACAGGCAACTCACGGCAGGTATCACGAAAGCTTACCCCTTAATGAGTCGAATAGAGAGTCCAGCTTCGCATCCAACAGAGATGGCCCCTTGGCCTCGCTGGCTGAGTTCATATAAAACCTAGATGCACCATGTTAGCAGCTGGCACCGAGCAGGCCGTGCATCTTGGGCTATAAGTGGCAAAGAGGAGAAATGAGATGATGCAACGCCACCACTAAGCAGCAGTTTGCCAATGGTCCATCTTGGCCAAGGTAGAATCGTCCTCTCATGTGCAGATGCTGATGCTCGTCCCCGTTTGTCCCAGCCGGGAGTGAATAATACCGTCCAGATTGGTCCCTGGTAGAGGAGGTGTCGGCGCCATGGTTCTCTCGTTTCTTCTTAGACAACCAATGAGGGACAGCCTTTGCGACTTTGGAAGGCAGATGATGTTTGACGCCCTTCCAACCCAGCATCATTCTGAGGCCCGATGCACGGGATGCATGCGTCCCCGAAGCGCTGGGTCGCAGTCGGTGTCCTTGAAGTCTTGGTCGTTGTTGTCTAGAGTAAGACACCAGCCGGGATTATTCGTTGGTGATGCGCGCGATATCAGATTTAGGGATGCTTAAAAAGGGCTAAGGTGAATAGTCCGGGTCGATCGATGCCGAAGTGGTCATGGGAGGCCGAATGTTTCCACGAGAAGAAGGGCGCAAATTCACGCAACAGTCAAGGAGCGCGTGGATTCGCGGGTCGTCGAGAAGATGCTCCCAAGAGATCCGGGCACGCCAGGGAGCCAAGGTAAATGGCAGAAAGGCGTGCTTGAAAACGGATGATTGAGGCATCCAGAAGCCAACAATAGGACAATACGATCTTGCAAGGTAGCATCTTGGCATGCTGTCGCTTTCTGACGTCTCTGTTTCAGTAGCATCGGCGGCGCTCGGCCATACTCTGGTGAGTGTCCGACAAGACGGGCGGGCTTCGCCTTAGTGGGACCCCCACAGTCAATCCACACCGATAACAACATTGGAAGCCTGGCGATGCATCATCTCACAGCGAAATTGTCCGAGAAGCGCCGTGAGGAGTCTGATTCGAGGAATATCCGACGGACTGGAAGGGGAGAGCCATAGCCAGAGGAGGGGAGGGGGGAAAGCATGTCGGGGAAAACGAAGGCGGAGATTTGAGGCTCGCAAGGGGACGGGAATAGTGACGGTAGTAGCAGTAGCAATGGTAATGGACGGGCAGGCCAGGGGTTGGGTCAACTTACGCATCCACGGCCTCGTTGAGCTTGTAGCCAGTCGACTTGAGATACTGCACACCACCCGAGTTAGCGACCGAACAGACGGATCGAGCAAACACCACTTTGGGATGCAGGACTGCTCTGCCGTGGTCCCCCCAGCCTCACGTCCAGCAGGCGCCAAAAGCCGAAAGGGCCGGCAGAGCAGGGTCAGCCTCATGCCAGCCTCATGCCCCAATTTAATTCCGGCCCATTGACCCGGGATGAGCCCAAGCGAGACGTTGTGATGCATGGAGGTGAGGCAGTTCCCCCCGTTGGGGTTGGGCTGGGCTGGGCCAGGTCACCGACAAGCACGGGGGAGAAAAGCAACGTTATCTGACATACCCGAGTCGCCTGACGTTCCGTGGCCCCGGTAAGGTTGACGAACTGTGCAAGTAGCACCTTTTGTTGCGCCGACGAAGGGGGAGGCATCGTGGCGGGAAGAGGAAGGTCGGCGAGCTGGGGAGATTTGTCGGGGTCACACGAGGACCTTGAAGGAGCTGTAGCTGTCGAATAAAGCACCGAGCGCCCCGAACGTTCGTCAGGCCGTGGTTCGTGTGTAGGCCGTTGGTCGCTGGTCGCTGGTCGCTGGTCGCTGGTCTGACACTTAGCTTAGCCTCTGCCAGCAGGAGACGAGATGCTGCTGGCGAGTACAAGGCAAGGTATGTCGATCGATGGTGCGTCGTCGTCGTCGTTTGTCGGTACAGGTGGCCGTTGTCGACGAGTCGCAGCCTTTGGATGGGTGGCGGAGAGCGGTCGTGCACGCCGAGCGCAGCTGCAGAGGACACCAAAGACGGCGAGTCGAGTGTGCGTCTGTCCGCTATGAGATGGCGGCCCGGAGAGGACAGAGGACAGAAGCTCGAGAGGATGCGGGGGAGGAGGGGAAGATGCTCGCGGCTTGGTGGTTTCTGCCTTGGGTTTGGCAAAGGGCAGAGCAGGGCAGGGCAGAGCAGAGCAGAGGAGCGGGCTTGGATCGACTCACGCAAGGCTGCGATGGTGGGGTTTAGGTACTAACCTTGGAGGAGCTTGGGCGGCTAATTGGCGGCGGCTCAGAAGGTTGGGCACCCAAAACTGCCTGCTACAGAGGGCGAGGCTTGGTGTTATAGGTGGTGAGAGAAGCTTGAATCTGCCATTTTGGACATTGAGCTCAACTTCCATAAGCAATGTTGGATCCATCCCGTCTAGATGCTGCCTCAGGTTGCATTAGATGGATCAGATTGATTTGGATCTACGTAGAGCTCAACTATAAACTATGGGCAGTTGGACGAGTCACAGGAGCTCGCATGCGGTCCAAACTGCAGCTTGAGAGGATGCCCAGCAAGTCTCCCCTCACCCAGCATAAGCCGAAATGCAAGACATCACGGTGCTTGTGAAGATCTGCCGATCCAATACATGGACCTGGTACCAACTCGAGCATGAGTGGGACTGTATCCAAAGCTCAAAAATACATGTATAAATGCCCGGAGCAGAGCAAAAAGCTGTGTCTTTCGAACCTCGTGATAATTGGATACATAGAGCACAGCGTTGATTCACTCGATCAAGTCAACCATCAATAATGAATCATCAGAGCGTCTAATGGAGCACGTACAAAGAGCCATCGTCTCTAACAATTGAATGAGTGCAGCAACACTGATGCCGCACTGTACTGATACCGCTAACTCGCCCACTGTAGCCGCAGATCTCCCCCCGAAAACACAGTATCAACACCCTCCAGGCGACTTCAATCAACGCGCTTTAGTTGTGTACAAGCACTGAGACGCGTCTGGCCGTTGATCGTAGCGCTCCATCTCCACTATCGAGCACTCACACAGACATTCGATTGATATAGTGGCTGCTTCATGCACTCCAACATGAACCCTCCGTATGCACGATCCGACCAGCATTGATGTCATGAGCCATGGCATCGCACGCTTCAGAGGACGAGGGCTACGGCTTCGACCCCTCGGCGCCGTTCAAGGGCGTCATTGTCTGCTGCACCAACATCCCGCCTGATCAACGGGTTCGTAGCAGCGCCATCACCACCCATTGCCACGCCTCCCGCTAACCTCGTCGCGAACAAACAGACAGACATTGCCCAAAAGGTGGCCGAGCTCGGCGGCCTGCACAAGTACGATCTCACTCCCGACGTGACGCATCTCGTCGTCGGCGACTACGACACGCCCAAGTACCGCCATGTCGCCCGCGAAAGAGTCGACATCAAGGCCATGGACGCCGCCTGGATCAACGCCGTCAACGAGCTGTGGAAGAAGGACGAGGAATTCGACTTTGTCGCACTGGAAGACAGCCACCAGCTAAAGGCGCTGGAGACGAGCGGTGTCGAGCCCTCGTCGCAGGAGGAAACATCGCCAGCCGCGAGGGGATCGCTGCTCATCTGCTTGACGGGGTTCGGCGACACCAGGGACAAGATTGCGGACATGATTATGCAAAACGGCGGTCGCTATACCGGGGATCTGACCCGGCGATGCTCGCACCTGATTGTCAGCAAGCCAGAAGGCAAGAAGTTTACGGCGGCAAAATCATGGGGTGTACACACGGTTACTCTGGATTGGCTCGAACAGACTGTCGCACGCGGCATGATTCTAGAAGAAGCCAAGTTTGATCCGCTATTACCTCCGGAAGAGCAAGGCGTTGGCGCCTGGGTCAAGAAGGATCCAAAGAGGTCAGCCTTGGGGAAGAGGGCAAGGTCGGCGGTGCTAAACGGAGGGCCAGATGAAGGCGTCAGGAAGTTGCGCAAGACTGCCAGTATGAAGCTGAGTTCGCAGAGGAACGACCTCTGGGGCGACATACTCGGAAGATCTGCGTCAAGGGAGTATTCGTTTGCCCACGAGAATCCCCCCGGAGCACCGGCCCCGGGTCCAGCTCCAGCCGCTGCCTCATCCGAGGCTCCAGTACCAATCTCTGAAGTTCCCACGCAGCCCGGCTACTCTCTCCAGGAGGACCAGGGCGTCTTTGCCAACTGCATTTTTGTCGTTCACGGATTCCCACAGCAGAGAGCAACCATCCTGGAGCAGACAATTGCGACCCTCGGCGGCACAATTGTCTCGTCGTTGCAATCTCCTGCTATGCTGTCCCAGCCGACAGACCCCGAACACTACCGATTCCTCATAGTCCCCCAAACCTCCCAACCCGACACCCATCCCAAGGCGCCAAACGAGCACATTCACATTATTACCGAATTCTACATCGAAAACTGTCTACATAACAAGCGATTCTTCAACCCCAATGAGCAGGTCCTCGGGCGACCGTTTCCCTTGTTCCCCATCCCCGCGTTTTCAAGCATAACCGTGTGCAGCGCCGCGTTTACTGGAATAGAGCTCAACCAAGTTGCGAGGAGCGTAGCCCAGCTGGGAGGCAAATACGACGAATCATTCCGGCGGTCGACAAACGTGCTGGTATGCAAATCTCTGCTGTCCATGCGGAGAGAAAAGCTAAAGTGCGCGCTCGACTGGGGGGTGCCCGTTGTTTCGGCAGACTGGCTGTGGGAGTGTATATCCAGTGGCAGCTTGGTTCCCATTGAAGACTTTGTTTACTCCGAGATCAAGAAACGGCGCGTCAAGCGAGACCCCTTTCTCAACGAAGAAGACGACACCGCGCCGGAAAAGCCGCCTCGAAAGGCCCCAGAGGCGAAGCCCGCGGCAAAGCCTCCCAAGCAAAGCGTCGACACCACAGCCTTTGACAAAGATTTGCCTGGGAAAAGTCGCGCCCAGCAGACGGTCGAGTCTATCACGTCGGCAGACTTTCTGACGGCACAAACCCATCCAGTCAACACCGCGTGGACGGCCGACACGCCCCCTCTGACCGAGCTGTCGTCGGCCGCGCTCAACGTGTCGCCAAAGCTGCCGGCAGCCAAAACCCCCCTTGCTCGCATCATATCCGCGCCAGCCAAGCTACCCCAACCCCAAGAACAATCAGTCTCAGCACCTCCTCGTCCCACTTCAGCCTCTGAGCCCAGAGAGCTATCCGCACCACGACCAAAGCAACCCCCTGAACCAGCCCCTGAAGCAGCAAAACAAGCAACCCCCGAAGCCCCAACAAAACAAGAGCCATCCGCCGACCAAGTTGAAAAACAACGACAGCTGGCAGCCGCCGCCGAGCTCCGCCAAGGCCTCACATCAGCCCTCTCCGACCTCATACCCCCTTTGACATCCACCTCCCTCGCCAATTCCAACTCGGCTCCTCACCAACAGTCGGACCCCCGCGCCCTCCGCCGTCGTCGCCACAAAATCCTCGGCCGCGCCATTAGCAACGCTTCCAACGCCAGCAGCGCCGCCAGCATCGACAGCGCCGCTCTTCCGCCTCGCGCGCTGCAGGACGAAGACGTCGATGAGGAGAGATTGCAGAGACAGTCTCCTCCCGCGACGCAGCTCGAATACCGCGATCCCGAGGCCATGGAGACCAAGGCCATGCTGATGAGCAGGATGACCGGCGCCGTGGAAACAGCACCACCAGAGATTCTCGGCCGCACAAGGTCTTCTAGGAGAAAGTGAAGAATGCTGGGGGAAAAGGACGAAATGTTGCATGTGTTTCAATGTCGGGATATATGAGAAAGACAAAAGGCTACAATAGAGGGGGGAGCATATAATGATGGGGACTTGTGGTTTTCTTTCGGGCGAGTTTGAAAATGGGGTGGGAATGTAGGATAATGGGAATTTGACTTGAGCATTAATACACGTATACACATGATGTCGCCGTTTCGTATATAAAGCTGAAGCGGAATAATATTCACCAACGGCTATCATGGATGGAATTACTAGAATTAATTCGCTAGATGCACATATCTCGCTCCATCATACATGATGCAACTTGCAAACAACATCACCCGGCATATCATCACAAACAGCCACTCGAAAAACCTCAAAGCCATAAAAAAACCTCTAATATATTCATCCCCCCCCAAACCTCCTATATACACCAACCTCCTATACCTCTTCCCCTTCAAACCCCCCTGGCTCGTTGAAGAAACCCGTTCTCAAAAAAGAGATTATATAGACCACCAAAAAGGCATCATCTACATATACCTATCAAGCGATAAATAAAGCGCCGCCATTTCCAGTAGCCGACAAAACCATCCTATATAGCTTATCCCTAAAGAGCATCCCCTCCTAAGATGGGAAAGATGTTAAAAGACAAAGAGAAGAAAAAAAAAGGCAACCGATTGTTTTGTTCCCACTGGGTATCTATCATCATCTCCTGACGCGGGACAAAAAAAAAAGAAAAAAAGACACCCCCCTAAAGAAGAAAAAAGACGCAACGAAACGTCTAGATTTCAAGAGGCACCCTCCCATAAAATGCATACCGAGCAGCCTCAAAACGCCCGCAGCTCCTTAAAAAGAGAGAGAAAAAAAGACTCAAAATGAGATGAGGTATACCGAAAACTAATAGGCAACTGGCAGTTTAGACGAAGAGGCCGGTCTCCTGTGCTCGTCACCCAGGATCTCCTCGTCTCTTTCGGATAGCTGCTCGGATTGCATGACTGCCCAGCGATGCTGCAACTCCTCTCTGCAACACCAACACCGTTAGCATCACGGATCCTCAACTCAAACACGGGATAACAACTTACTGAGAGCCCTCAATGGTCCGGATTCCCATCCTCTCAAGCACCCGAATCAGCCTCTTCAGCGTCCTCTCCCGCCTAAACGACACAAGCACATCCCCTCTAGGCCGTCCATCCCTCGACGCAACCTGCACGCTTCGCTCGCTCATGATCAGATGCGCCTTGAGCACCCTCCGGTTCCAAACAACATCAACCAAGTCATCCAGCCGCACGTCAAAGTTGATGGGCTCCCTGAGCCTCCCCCACCGCACGGGATGTCCCTCCTTGAGAATCTGGTGCTCCAAGACTCGGCCCTCCTTCATCCAGTGCAAGTACTGCGTCACGCGGGGCGAGCTCGTGTAAAGCCGCGTCTTGATCTGGTCCACCCGAAAGTCGTTTTGCGTAATGGGTGCGCCACTCCAGAGGTCGGTATCGGTATAGTCCTCCGTATCTTCGACGAGCGTCCTGTACGGTCGAATGGACGGGGACAGCGTCCGGGCGCGTTTGGTAATTGGGCCCCCTGAAGTTGGCGATTCGGGCGCCATCATCGCGCCGTCGTTGCCGCCCTCGGACGTCAAGTCCGTGGACGACCTGTCGTTGTCTCCGGGGGCCCCGGAATTGGAATAGATGCTCTTCCGCTTCTTCTGTTGCGAAAAAGGGCCGTCGTTGGGTGCGCCGCCACCACGACGGCTCGCCTTGACGCCCGATGGCCGGCCAATGTTTTTGAACCCAGACTTGGTCCGCAGTGCAGCCAGCTTGGGATCGTTGTAGAAATTATGAATGATTCTGGACACGTTAAAGGCAGCGCCCTGCTCAACCCACAGCTCATGCAGACGCTGCCGCATCCACTCCAGGGGGTGAATGTCGAGTCCGTACTTGGCCAGCTCGCTCAGCGTCTCGCACAGGCGGAACAAGGTGTCGTACGAGGTAATGCTCCCCTTGCCAGACGTGGTGTACTTCTTGCTCAGGAGCTGGTAGGGGCTGATCTCGCCTTCGTCCAGGAACTCGAGGATTTTCAAGCCGCGGTTGACTTGCCGTCCCAGCTGGAATCGGGTAGAGGCCTTGTCTACGCCCTTGTCCTTTGATTCCATGGCCTGCTGGTGCTTCTCCCGCCACTGATTAAGCGGCGTCTCGATCAAGCCCCTGATATCGGGCCACTTAGGATCCCAGTATGGGTGGCTTGGATCAATCTTCTCCAGGGGCACGCCCTCTATGATTTCCGGATGAGTGTACACCTTGCCGTCGTGTCTGAGAGAGAGGGTCTCGCGCGTGATTTTGGGCAGGTCTTGTTCGTCCACGTTATCTGACGGCTGAGGCGAGGCCTCCATCGAGCGTGGCGTGGGAGTGTTGAGATCCTGAGACGACGGCCGGCTCGGGACGTTTGCCGGCGTGAATCCCGTGCCAAAGGGGTATGCTCGAGACTCTGGCCGGTCCTTGGGGGTCAAGAGCTGCTCTGTGTGGTAAAAGGCCGGCCGGCTGGTGGGCAATCCTCGCCTCTCCGATACCGTGGGCTTGACTTCGTCGCCCTGCATGGACCCGGCGCTGACTGCTTCGGCAACACCAGCCGCCACGGCGAACGCCTCCTCCGTGGCCAGCTGTTTTCTGGTCTGCATCTGCTGTGCCATGACCCGCTCGTCGTCGTCATCTCGATCGGCAACCGCCTGGTCCACCTCTGCCTCTTCTGCAGGCTCCCGGGGCGTGTCTGTTAAGATTCCTCTTTTAGTATCGTCGTCTTCTCGTAGTGGTGGCGGCGGAGAGCTGTTCTCCTCGGCGGTCCCGTTTACCGCCTGCCTCGAGGGACTATCCCCGTTGGCCGTGTCCTTTGAGGCTTGTTCATCTTCTCGAGGCGTCCCCTCAGAAGAGACCTCTTCGTCCGCAGCAGGGGATTCTCCCAGGCCGCGGTCCTTGCGCAGAGCCGCTCCATGGCAGCCCTGGCGATTCCACTCGCAGTTGCCGCACTTTTGAAAAAGCGGCCCGCCAATGATGATGCAGTCGTCAAAGGCGCCCTGGTTCTTGTCGCAGGATATGCACCGCTGGGCCTGGACCTCGCCAATGGCCTGGATCATGCAGGACAGCCACTTGACGCCCTTTGCTTCCGTGTGCTCGTAGATGCCAGCGAGGTGGTCGGTGGTGAACTTGCGCCCGCGGCGAATCTTGACCGGACGCTTGATGGGCAGGCCCAGGATAGCCTTGACCCATTGATTCCACGGCTCCGTCTTGTTGATGGGCCCGATGACTCGGCCGTCGGCGTCGACGAGGTCGACCAGAGCCTCGACTGGCTCCTGCAAAAGGCCCTTGAACGAGGACGACGGCGCAATGGGCGCTATGGGCGTCTTTGCCGCCACCTGTCGAGTGACCACGGCGGGCCGCCGGGGCAAATCGTTCCAGTATTCCACCCCTTCCATCTCGGTGGCATCGCTGTCGGTGGTTTCTCGAGGGGCGCCGGCGGGTTTAGGCATGGCCTGATCGTCTCCCGCTTCAGCTCGAGCCTTGGCCGCAGCATCTCGCTTTTCCTGAAACCAGCGAATCATGGTCTCGGTGACCTTTTCCCTCTGCTGCAGAAAGTCCTGCTCCTCATGGCGGTATTTCCGCTCAATGGCGAGGATAATCTCGGTCCTCCCGTCGCATTCGGTGACGACGTGGGCCAGCTCCTTGTCGACTTGGCTCAGCTCCAGGGCGAGCCTCTCGCGGACCTTGCTCAGCTCATTCCGCTTTCCATCCAGCTTGCCCAGCTCGACCTTTGCGTCCGTCAGGGCCAGCTGATATTCTCGCTCCTTGTCGGAATGCTGAGCCTCTTGCTTGGCGTTGAAGTCTCTCCAGAACTTGCCCTCGGCCTCGTCCCAGACGAACTTGTGCTCGTGGGCAGGGAGGTGCTCCCACGTGGACGCCTCGTCCATGCTCCTTGCTTTGATTGTTTTTGACTTTTTCCCGTGTTTCTCTCCCTGGCAAAACTGTTGTGCGTGCTGTCGATGAAAGGAAAGAAGCGGGTGCTTGAGATGATGGGGTGCGAAGCAAGCAAACTGTTGTAGTGCCGGATAGGGATAGGTTAGAGTAGAGTTATGAAAATCGGCTTCTTTGTTCCCCGTCCGGTTATGTTTCTTTCACCACAGAAAAGGGCGGTCCTGGTCACCAATGTGAATCAATTATGAAGACGAAGAAAGCGGCGGCTCAGCGCGCCAGAGCCAGGCTCCAAGAAAGTCTTGTTCTTATCGTCTTAGTCCCCGAGTGATGTAAGGGAGGCTCAACCATAGTCTCCCGTGGATCTGGACGCTACGGTGGTTTGTAGCAGCCGGCGGCTCTTGATCTTTCAGACGGTCTAGACCATGACAATGGCGATGACAATGCGAGAATCGTCGGGCAGTGGAAGAAATCATGCAAGCAGGGCGCGTTGGTGTCGCATGCGGCGATGCTTGGCTATAAGTTGTTTGAGTCCAAGGTGGGGAGGGGTGTGGATTGATATTGGCAGCGAAAGCTACGCCTAGTCATCATGGTTAGTCACCAGACAAAATAGTCGAACAGGGGGGGGCGTGTAGAGGAGAGAGGAGAGGAATATCAAAGGGGACGTGAGTTGAGTTGAGGCGAGGCGAGGCGATGCATGTGGAGATGCAAAGGCCAGACCAGACCAGACCAGACCAGACTGGGGGTTGTGAGATGGAAACTTGGAGGTGTACACGTACAGTCCACGTACACACGGACGAGAATAGAAGGACAAGGAGAAGAGAGTCGATGGAATGGTGTTGAACAGGGGACAGGGGGGAAAGGTTGTGGTGTGTGGACTGGGCGGGAGAGTCAAAGAGTCAATGCATCTCAGACGCAGATGCAGCAGCAGGGCAGAAGAGAGAGACAGAGACAAGAGACAAGAGACAAGAGACAGGACAGGACAGGGCAAGGGGTATGATGGCAAGGAATAGATGGGCAAGGCAAGACAAGACAAGACAGGAAAACGGCCGAAGGACCCCATGAGCCGGCTGTGGGTGCCGAGATGCGGGAGAACGGGTTGACGATGCGATACGATATGTACGAGCATGATGCTCGCACAGGCACAAGGCACCAGCCGCATCGAGAACAAAGACCCCATGGCACGGCACGGCTGCATGGACGAAACGAGCCAGAGTGCAGTTGCAGTTACTAACCTGGCGGGTGGTTTTACTGATCAGTCAGGTCGATCCAGCCGGCTGTCGAGGAATCCGGCTCCACCGAGGTTTTATACTCGGGCCTTGGTGCTGATATATCGTCCGGGCTGGTACCGGTATAGCTTGCTGACTCTGGTCCGGGGGACCCAGAAGCAACAAGTCCGATGCAGAGCGGATAAACTGGGAGTGTCGCGGGCTGTGCGTAAGGGGAGGAGAGAGAGCAGGCGCAAAAGGAGCGAGGAGGAGGAGAGCTGGAGGAAGGGCGTTGATTGGACGCTGCAAGGGGGGAGGGAGAACTGATTTGTCTTGTCTGTTTTTTTTTGATTTGTAGGAGAGACCAGATGAGAGCAAAGCAATAGCAGGTGAAGTGAAGTGAATAGAAGAAAAAAGAGGAGGAGAGAGAGAGAGAGAGGAGGGAAGAAGGAAATATGGCCGAATATGGACGGGGTGATGCCGCAAAGAGAGAAGAAAGGAAGATGAGGAAGAGCAAGTTGCGCAAAGGCCAACGCGATAGGGAGCCCCCAAAATAGCACGGGAAAAACAAAGCAAGGCAGAGCAAACAAAACGATCCGGCTTACGGAGCAACTGCAAAATAGGAATTGCGGGAATGTGAAGCGCTGGGATTTCTGGCCACCCGCCAACAGCTGATTTGATATGGGAGTGTGTGGATTTACAGGATGTGGGCGACAACGATGGAAGATGGAGAGAGAGAGTGTGTGTGTGAGTGAGTCGAAAACGGAATTTCCGCTGAATAATGCCGCCAACGAAATGAATTAATAAACAAGTCTCATCTGGGACAAGCCAAGGCAGAGAGATAGTACGAGTGTAAAGTTTCGAATTAATCCAATGCCAATCTGATAGGTGATGAAATTAGTATAATAGCCCACCCAGCCCAGAGGCAGCACAGCACCAGCACAGCACAGAGGAAAAAGGAAAGCTGGGAAAGGAAAAAAAAAAAAAAAAGGACGGCGGGTACTTGGTCCGGGCCCGGCCGGGTGTGTCCCTTGGAGGTACCAGCCGTCCGTACACGCACCATCCAATACCATACCGTGCTTCAGTTTGACTACCTATACAGTACCTAGTATGCATCAATAGCCGTTGACTCGAGTTGGTACACGGAGAGCATCAGGTCCAGGCCAACGAAAAGGGATAATGCCGACCGCTGAGTTGGGCAAAGGACCCCCCTAAGCTTAGCGATAGCCTAACGTCGTATCCCCCGTAGCGGCTTCTTGGGGGGGGTGGCACAGCCTATCAGTCAAGACGCCGTCCGGCTTCGTCTTTGACGGGGATTTTGGGTTTTTTGCTTTTGTGCGTCATCAGTTTGTTTAGTATTGATTTGATTAGTATGGATTATCATCACCGTCTTCATTTATTTTGTCTTGAATGGTTCTTTTCGCCGCTCGTTTGTCACACAAGCCAGTTTTTCCCCACCCAGCATGACAAGGAATAATCCTCACGGCTTCAATCAAAATAGAAACCGCTTCACGTTCCCCCGTTCAGGCAATTGCAATTCCCGGCGGCGGTTGGGGACGGATTTTGCGGCACCCACTTTGTCCTGCATTTCCGACGCCTAGTGTCGTATCGTATCAACGAGAATCGTATGGATCGTATGCTGCATTTTGATACGCCGCGAATACGCTGGGCGACGGATACGTCCAGGCCCTGGGAGGCGCCAAAAGCTTCTTTTCCCCTTGTCGAATGCCGAGCGAGCTTGGGATTGGAGTTTGTGTGAGCAAATAAACATGCGCCATTGATCAAATAGCTGAGGTTAGCATCCTCGTAGCTTAGCATAGCATCAGTGAATGGCATGTACTGTACAGTACGGGCTAAATCCCAGGTTGGGGATGGACGAGAGAGATTGCGGACGGTAAGCCAGAAACGGAGAGTCACTTTGTCAGCCACGAAACATCAGCATCGCATCGCATCCGCACCACTCAAAGCTGCAGCTTTCCGTCACGAGACAGTCTTCAAGTCAAATCAAGCAATAAAGAAAACCAAGAAAATAGAGAGTGATAGGAGAAATGCAACTGCGGAACAACATTCGCGGCGTGCTGACTCGATAGGTAGATGCATGCATGCAACACCATCCGATCCGAACCGAGGCTTGGTTATGTAGGTAGCTACAGTACAATCTCGGGGACTCGAGCTAGGAAAAACCCAAGCTGGAGCCCCAAGACTTGGCTCTCGTACAATCAAGCCGTTGGCCGTCTAGTTCCAAGTCCCGGTTTGACTCATTCTCTGCTTGCTTGCTTGCTTGCTGCAATTCGTCCGTTTTGTGCTCGTGCCTCGTCCGCCCATCCGTCCGCCTCTCCTCCTGTCTCTCTACTGTACATGTACTCCAGGCCCTTCCAGACACTATCGGTTTATAATCCGGGCCTTGATACGAGCAATACCCGGAGTTCCTTGGGCAAAAGGACGTGCAGAGCAGGAAACACACGCTTGTACTATCGTCGCCGGCTCACACCTCTCACACCTCACCTAACCTTAACCTATCCATCTCCATCTCCATCTCCATCTACGCAATCAATCAATCAAATCCGCCCAACTTCAAGTAGCCACCAAGTGGCACCGCCGAGTCATTCATCTCTTCGGCCTCGCTACAACCACGAAATCGCCTTCATCTACCGCCGTTCGCCATTGTCCGCTCGCCGTCCGCTCGCTGTCCGCCCCCCCTCTCTCCGTTGCGCCTCTCCGTTCCTTTTCGAGGTTGCTTTGCTCTGTTCCGTCTAGGCTTTTCTCTCTTCCCACGCTTCGCTCCTCGCAGCTCCTGTCGAATGCGGGCAAAGAGCAGCAAACCAGACAAACCGCGGGTCCCATCTCCGGTCCAATTGCGCGTGCCGGACCGGTGATCCTTGTCTCCCCATGTCCCCATCCCGGACCACCTCGGTGCCCCCCAGCTAACAACCAACTGACGACTGCCGCACTTTGAGTTCTCGTCTCCTGCTCTATGGATATTCGTACTGTAATACTAATACGAGTGCTTCTCTACTCCATCTAGATTCAGATCCTCATGACATCGTATCATCCACCATTTCAGACTCTCTCAACGCCCTGTCACGACACTCACCAGCGGATCCTCACGCCCCCCTTTCACCCAAAACCCAAAAGAAAAAAAAAACTCAAAAAAGCACGCCTCCCCTGCTTGCAGCTCGCCAGAGGCTTTTCAACGACAAGTTTGCTAGAAATTATGGGCCGGAAGCTTCAACCGCCTGGCGCTCACTTACTCACTTCACTCACTCATTCACACAAAGAACTTTCTTCTCTGCCTTTTTTGAGGCTGGGGGACAGAGAGAGGATCGTCGCTGTTCCTCATGCAGTCTAGCTAAAAGGCGATTGCGCAACGCTTAATCCAACGCGGCCCAACAAAAAAAAACCCTCGAAAGGCATTTCGTCAGACCTGCGGTATTCCGCATTTGTGTGCCTCTTTTTTTTTGGGTATTATTCACTTCTTGTCTAAATCCTATCGGCAGCTTATTTCCTCTTTGAGCCTTGTTGGCGGCTGTCGCCCTTGTCATCTATCCGATGATGGAACCCCCCCCCCCCCCCCCCCTTCTTACGTAGCTGGTTTGTCATGGGCTGAGTGGTTGGTTTTATTTTTGTTCATCCCCAGCGTGCTTTATTTTCCGGAGCAGCCACGTTTGAAAATGGTTTGGGCGAAGCTAAGAGGCTGGTAGCGTACTGTGGAAAACATAGTACCGTATCCGTCTTCTATTTCGTACGAGTCTGTACCTACTCGACCTGCCTTGGTGGACAAAGAGAGAATC